GTCAAATATGTTATCATTCACCACTTGTCTATATGAATGCGTTTCTTTAATAGATGATAATGAAATGGTAACCCTGCCTGCGCTAACGGTATACGCTGGCGGGACACCAGTGAGGAGGTAATAGGTGAGAATGAAAGGGCAGGTCAATTAGCCCACCGTGATGAATATACCTAGAATTCAGCATGATGGTTTCCAGGGGGGACCACGTGGAGGTCGCCCTAACAGGATATATTGCTAGCAATAGGACTGGTAATCCACATTACAAGGAGATTTTGTATAAATGTCGTTTGCTTGGGTACTGCTGTGTCATTCGTTTTTCTGCCCCGTGAAGCAGTTGTGTTTGCATGCCTGTGTTTCGGTTTGAAGAGCCACCCTTTAAATACATTTCATTGCTACATCCCAATATGGCAATTAAAGTACAGGGTACAGAGTCATAACACCTTAATCTTTAGGAATGACAACGCATGTGAAAGTGCAATTCATGTCTATAGGTAACGGTCACCACTTTCCATCAGGTGGGCCATCAGCTTGTTTGCCATTCTAAGTTGTATAAAAATGGGGGTCTTCAAACAGAGCGTATTAAAATTTCTTAAGAGTAGCCAACGCACACGTGACATCCCTAGTGTTACAGGCGTCCATAGACTACGGTAACCCCAATTACCATCAAACGGGCCGTATGCTTGTTTGTATGAATGAATGAATGAGTATACTTTATTTGCATTATACAATATAGGAAATAAGGAAGGCAATTTACAAACACAACGATACAATTGTATAAGTGCAGTAAGGCGTTCTTATTACTGAGAGCAATCTTTTCAAGACAACCTTAGGGTAACCATAGTAATATAAAAAAAAATACTTATATCAGTTAGTGTTACAATTTATTTAACATTACTGTCACCAACTAGAAATTCAATGTTCGACGTACAATCGAAAAAAGCCAGTTAATTTCATGTTTTATGTTGACTTTATCAGCCGTTGAGCTGTAACGATGAATGGAAAATACAAACATAAATATTGAATCGACGTGAACAAACATCCACATTCAGCACTGAAATAAATTAAATGAATCTACGAATTAAATTAATCTACAAATTTTCGCCCGAAATTGGCACAAACAAAACAAATACATGTATAACACAAAATATTGTAAATTTTTAAACGACTTATTTATTATTTTTATGTAATAAATACCGGTTTCACTTACGTGTAAATAGATCGAGGAAACTAGACTAGTTTCGGGATCAATTGGTGATCCTTAATCATGAGCAGCTGTGACACGAGCGCAAGTCTGATTGCGCGCCTAACTAAAATCTCGCCGCTAACTTTTACAGGTATAATACTTTTTAATAAAACTTCTTTAAATGAAAGATTTTTTTTTTTTTTTGTCTTTGTATATACTACGATCTGTCTCCTTGCTGGGACAATAAATAGTATTTTTGATTTATACTTTAATGGCGTGCTCAGTATGCGACTTTAGTCGCATCCTACTTTATTTTATAGAATCATGTCTTGGGGCATTCTGCGTTTCAGTCTGCGAGTTGTGTGATTTACGTCCATAAGATCTCTTGCCAGTCTGTTAGGGTGTTTTGTTATCCTCTCCTTGTAGGATTGTGTGTATTGTAGTATTTCCTGTCTAACAGTTCCAATTTTTAGGTCATGATGTAGTTGCTCGTTTGTGACAAACCAAGGAGCATTAGTTATTATTCTCAGCATTTTATTTTGGAATCTTTGTAAAATCTCGACATTGGAATGAGACGCTGTTCCCCAGAGCTGGATTCCATAGGTCCAGATAGGTTTTAGTACCGTCTTGTATAGAAGCAGTTTATTGCTCAGAAATGAAAGATAAGCTAAAATATAATACAATGCACCAGGACTGCCTGCTCTCAGCCGCAACCTAGAGTTGCCAAATGGTAACCCTTACTTGTAATTATTTTTATTAGGCAACCCTATGTTAACATATGTATATCACAAAAAATAAACTTCTATTTAATCTAAGTTTTATCAAAAATAACTAATTCCTTATAACTGCAACATCATCTATAACAAAACTAATACATACTTCTAAAATGCTACACAAAAACTGTTTTTTTTTTTTATACAACTTAGAATGACAAACAAACTGACGGCCCACCTGATGGAAAGTGGTAACCGTCGCCTATAAACATGAGTAGTACTATGGACATAACAGAGTATACGGTTTCGCCCATGATACTCCCCATGCGTTGCCATTATTTAATTGTTAAAACTGTTATTTAATTAGTGTATAATGTGTATACAGTTGGTGTGCCTAATTCGAAATAAATAAAAAAATAAATAAATAAAATAAAGAAATTCTCATTTCAATATTTTTTTGTGTTTGCAACGGTTATTTGCCAATTCTAAACCAATTTGATACTTTTTTTTTAAATAGTTTATACTCCCGTATTTGTCTGAGGATAATTATTTTGTGAAACAAAATGACTGTAACTACTAATGAACTGTCACTTTTCTCATATTGGGTTTGCTGGAAGAAATCTCTATTGGAGATAAGCTCGCCCTTGTGCACTATTATGTCTGTTTTTACATTTCAATAACCTTTTGTGTACAATAAAGAATAAAGAATAAAAATTCTCATAATTAATCCTAAATGTTATAAGATAATATACAACCTTTTTGCTCAATATATCACCCCTTCGTATTTATTTAAAATTCACATCCATATTATAAGTAGGTTCTTAAAGGATTATTCCTTTATCAATGTTATGCAGAACCCACATCTATAAAGAAATGCGTCTGTGACATAAAGCTATGTACAATGTAATAAGAATACATATAATGTAATATAACAGAGTGATCGCTCGAAAGATAAGCAAGCTTTAGGAACAATGAGCTGGCCACATAGCTCGAAGAACCGATGGGAAAGAAAGGTTCTTGAGTGGCGACCCCGTACAGGCAGATACAATGTAGTACAACCACCAACAAGAGGGAGGAAAGGGATTATTAGTAATGGAGACTAAAAATCCCATTGCTAGCAATATACCCAACCAGGTCGATCTCCTCGTGGTCCCCCTGGAAACTATCATGGTTAATTCCTGATGAATTCATCATGATGGGCTAACTGGCCTGTTTTCATTCTCATCGATCAGCCTTCACTGGTGCTCCGCCAGCGTATCCCATTAGCGCAGACGGGGTTGCCATACCATTATCACCCATCAAAAAAAAAAGCCCTGCTAACTTTTTCTTTCAATGGATGATAATGAAATGGTAACCCCGCTTGCGCTATCGATATACACCGGCGGGGCATTAGTGAGGGTTGAAATAGTATATAAGTATATAGTAAATAAGTGAAAATGAAAGAGCAGGTCAGTTAGCCCATCGTGATGGGATGCCCATCTGGAATGCACCACGATGGTTTCCAGGGGGACCACGTGGAGGTCGACCTGACGGGGTATATTGCTAGCAATGGGACTGGTAGTTAGCATTACTATCAATCGCTTCCCCCCCCCCCCCCACCTTACTGATTATGGGAGACAGAAAGATAAGTAAATATTAGTACTATGATAATTACTACAATTTATGTGAACTATATAATGTATAAAGTACGGGTTCTAATCCAATTTTTCAATCACTCAATAATAATCAGACAAAGTCGCGTATAAAACCTTGTATTTCCATAAAAGCTATCTCTATAAAAACCTTGTAGAACCTTGTATTTCTATTAAAGGCATATCTTTTATCACACTTACAGTCCGATGTAATTAATGTAAGAAAAGCTACGATATACAGATAGTATAAAAATAAAATCAGTCATGTACAACACGACCGCAGCCACAACCTCCCGAAGTCCTACAGTACACGACAATGTAACATCGCATTGCATCGACCGCCCGGGGCCACGAATTTAAATTAAAAAACTTTGCCAGCAAGAAACTGGGTTTGAGGGACAACTCAACAGTTCTATGAATATCTCTTTGTTTAAACGCCAACTTTGTTGTAGCAACTAGCAACGAATCAACACGGTAAGGAACAAACGCAACATTGGGAAATATGGTATAGTGAGTTATACTAAACAACTATAATAGTTTTTTCTCGTTTCTCTCAGCTGACATTGCATTCTGAATTGGACGGTAGGTTCATAATAACCTGACCATTCAAAAGGCTCATAATGAAATATAATAAAAAATATTTTTTTATTGTTTTTGGAACATACTAAACTTTTTTAAACTGGTAAAAACGGAATGGTACTCCCACCTATACTAATAGTATATCAAAACCTTACCTTATTACCTTTTATTTATTTTTATATTTTGTAGGTTACCGCTGGAATATGACACAATCAGAATTAAGCTAGGAATGGGACTGTTTTCTTTTAATGGATGATAATGGAATGGTAACTGCCCCGCTAGCGTATACCGTTGACGCAGACGGGGTTATCATACCATTATCATGCATTAAAAAAATATAGGGGGAGTCCTACATTCAGCAGTAGACAGTTAAGGGTCGATGAATAAATGGATTGTATCACCATATTATTGTTTTTATTAACAAACTATCATTCTTATCACGCCATCGTTTCACCATATAAGTAAAATTAATTACTTCACCCAATAATATTCAATAGGATATACGTCAAATCATTACAATAAAAATAGGTGGTTCGTTGTCAAACGAAAGGGATAAAATCATTATTGCACAGACGGCTTCAGGTGGAGAAAACACTAGTCATTTAAAAAAACTTGATGGCCATATATATACACAAATATTGAGGACTTAATAATCTTTGTGCGCTGGGAGCTGTTACCGTATTGGATATATAGAATCTATAAAAATAGCACAGTAGTATTGTGCGACAGAAGAGTGGAAGAAAAAAGACTAGTTAGATTACGAATAATCCCTAAAAACATTCTATTCCGAAATCTTTAATTGAACCTGTAATCCCAAAGATTTGTCTTTATGAAAGAATGTCAGTTGTCACCGTCACAGTCAGCAGTCAATGTCAATTGTCATATATGTCACGTCACATTCCATCAGTCAGTTAAATTCATTACAACACATTTCAACCATACAGCTAAAATTGTTTCCATTCCAATTTCCAAGGTTATAACGCGATACTTTTCATTTAAAAAGTGAATATAATAAATTTAATTTGTTACCGAATAATAATCTCAGACTCCAGAACTATTGTATGAAGGAATCACCAACGCTGACCTCCGATAGGTTAGTATATCAACGAGTATTTACACAATTTTCTCATAAACTTCATAATACTGGCTCTTTTTCGCGTCTTTTCACGTAAAATGAGCACGTTAAAGAACTTTTCTTTATCGCCTGTCGAGGTACGCGGTATGAAAGTGTTAAATCGGGAGAAATTCTTGCGTAATATTGAAGTATCAATATTGAAAGTGGCTGAAGAGAAACTTTCCAAAGTCACACAACATTGCAAGCACTACTTCCTAAAGTTGGAAAATTTCAAGCCAGTACAAGATTTCGACTTGGAAGGTGAATATAGAAAATGTATTTATTTAAACCCAGAAATTGTCTCACAGTGGAAAGATATATCAGAACATGTAAGAGAGACACTAATTACTCACGGTATTGATGAAGCCAACTTTGTTACTAAATTAGTTCAGCTATCATATGACAATTGGCGTTATGATACCATATTCAAAGCTGTCTTACCCGAGGATGAAGAAATTGTCAGTGGTTTCTCACAAATAGGACATATCATCCATTTAAATCTACGTGACCACCTCTTGGAATACCGACAACTAATAGGTCAAGTATTAGTTGACAAAATAAAAACATGCCGCACCGTGGTCAACAAGAGCAACATAATTGATAATACGTATCGTAACTTCAGTATGGAAGTGATTGCTGGTGATGAAGACTTCTTCGTAACTGTTAAAGAAAATAACTGCATATTCCAATTTGATTTTTCTAAAGTATACTGGAACCCAAGACTTTGTAAGGAGCACGAAAGAATTATAACACTTTTAAAACCATCAGATGTGTTATTTGATGTCTTCTGTGGAGTAGGCCCGTTTTCAATACCTGCGGCAAAAAGAAAATGTAGAGTTTATTCCAATGATCTAAACCCTGATTCTTTTAAATGGCTGAACCATAATGCAAAGAATAATAAACTAAATTTATCCTTGTTTAAATCATACAATCAGGATGGAAAAGATTTTATTTGTGATGTTTTCAAAGAGTATTTAATAGAATGTTGTAGAAATAATGAAATTAGGGAAGTAAAAATTCATGTGACAATGAACTTGCCTGCAATGGCTGTCGAGTTTTTGAAGTATTTTAGAGGATTAATAGAAGATAAACAATATATGGACAAGTTTAACTGTGAAATAATAGTGTATGTGTATTGCTTTGCAATGGGTGATGATCCTGTGAATATAGCTAAGTGTATGGTGAACGATAACATGGGTTGTGATATGTCATCATATATTGTGGATGTGTTTGACGTGAGAAATGTCTCACCCAAAAAAGAAATGATGCGAGTGACATTTAAACTTACAAAAGAAGTATTGTTTGATGTGAACAATTATGAACCACCTGCAAAAAAGTTATGTGTTAATGACTGATATATAAGTATATAAATAATAATACTTATGAGACTTCAATGTATAAGTGTTAATTTTAATTCATCACTTTATTAGGCAGATTTGTCTTTGAAATTCTAATTAAATACTTTATTTTTTATAAAGACAGATACTTATGTCTGTCAAATAATTGAAACAAAATTTGTATAGACTGACAGGCCCTATTTTCAATTATGTTAAATATGATTTTTTTACTGTTATGTATTGATTATATAATTATTAAGTAAAACTATGAAATATTCTTTATTTATGATTGTTTTCATAAATATATACATTAAAAAGTAATTAATAAAGCTTTTTATTGTACAATATCAAAACAAAATGATAATTAATAATTATAAAAAACTGGCATGACTAGAATTTTAAAATAACATTTTTACATTGGTACCTCTTAATTTTACCACTGTCCCACTTGAGTTATGGAATCAAACAGCTTTGTTTACATGACTATGTTTTAGTTTATCTTCAAACTAAATATGGATATGATAATTACAGAATGAGAAGTCATAACCCCTTAGTTCTCAGAAATGGTAAAACCTAAGAGTAAATTCTGTGAAGCCCAGTGCTGTTCTTGTCATTGATTATTTCCAATATACAAAACATGCTTGCAATATACCCTGTCAGGCCGATCAGGCACATAGTCCCTCATGGAAACCATCATGCTCAATTCCAGGTGTACTCATCACAATAGGCTAACTGACCTGTGTTTTAATTCTCACTTATCATCCCTCACTGGTGCTCCACTAGCGTGTACTGTTAGTGCAGGCAGAGTTACCATTCCATTATCATCCATTAAAAAAATATACAAAACATATAACATTATTATTATACAACAGGTGAGAGCTATCACACCGTCAACTTATTCCCTATTTAAGGTTATATATTTAAAAAAAGAAAACTGAAAACAATTCTGCACTATTTTATTGATATTTACGAACATTGGCCTTTAATTTGAAAAGTCATGATATTTTTTTTTTATCTATTCATAGTTCAATACGTAGCATTTTACGTAATAAATCACAAACAGATAAAAATATCATATTCAGATAGAGAATGTACCTATTTTGTGACGAAAATATGTAATCATTCAATCACTGCTTAATGTTACGTGATAAGACAGCGCAAATATTATATTATTTAGTATATATATAATTTTTTAATAGTATTTAGTAATCTGACCGTGACTTCGTCCATGTGGTATCTTATCACAAACAAATATTTAAAGTATAAGACGCTATTTTATAATTAAAAAAAATATTTTTAAACTTGACACGATTTTCAATTCTATTTATCACAACAACCTAATACATTCATTCTACAGTTTTCTTTCAGATTTTGCCAGGTCTCTCTGACTGTACAAAAGTCGTTTGCTTGGACCATTCGTGTTTCTACCATGAAGCAGTTGTGTTTGCATGACTGTGTTTCGGTTTGAAGGGTGGAATATGGCAGTGAATTTACAGAGTAAAGAGTAATAACACCTGAGTCCTCAGAAATGGCAACGCACAGAGGGTATCATGGGCGAAACAGTATACTCTATTATGTCCATGATACTGCTTATGTCTATAGGCGACGGTTGCCACTTTTCATCAAGTTGCCTGTCAGCTTGTTTGCCATTCTAAGTTGCATAAAAAAAGAAGCTTCTCAAAGGTTGACTGTAAAAGATCCCTCTATAGGATAAGCCTTTTTAATGTATCCTATGTAAAGTATCTACAATAAAGATTTTGAAATACACTGTATATAAATCTAGCTCGTTTAGTCGGGGGGGGGGGGATTGTAAGTAATAGGGTCTGTCTCATTGCTAGCACTACTCGTATACCAATTAGGTCGACCTCCACACGGTTCTCCTGGAATTTATCGCGGTTAATTTTTGTGATATTTCTCACGATGGATGAACTGACCTGCTTTCATTCCCACCTATCATTCCTCACTGGTGTCCCGCCATCGTATACCGTTAACATAGGTGGAATTATCATTCCATTATCATCCATTAAAAAAAAGTTCGTTTAATCTAAAATTAAGTGCCATGACATGCAGATTAATAACGTTATCACAACGTTACATTGTACGAAACTCTAAAACTAACGCAATAACATAATTTAAAAAAATATATAATAAGTTGAATTTACAATATGCAGTAAAATATAATTTACGACAGATAGAGGAAGCACTAAGTGTCATGTCATATAGAGAGGTCGAATATTAGGCATGGGATAGAGCTGGCTGGAAGAAAATGCATAAATTAGTTGCACCGACAAGAGGAAACTCTTAAATGAAAAGAGAGAGAAACTGTAATTTAGATATTTTATCAACTCTTAACGTACCTACTATATGAAAATAAACTTATGAATTAATGTCGCTAGGTACTCTCTTTCATATCTAGAATAAAAGAAGAAGATAGAAACAACAACTATCAATATGTATAGTCAAGGTATGCTTATTAAAATACTAATCGACAATGTCAATTTCCTTTTGTTGTTTCACTTACAACAAATTTACTGATTACCTGTTTATATATGCGTCGCGTTTATGTATGTTGCAGTCAAAAGTAAATTTTTTTTTAATGGATGATAATGGAATAGTGATCCCGCCTTCGCTAATGGTATACACTGGCGGGGCACCAGTGAGAGATGATAGGTGAGAATGAAAAAAAACAGGTCAGTTAGCCCATCGTGGTTAATTCGACCTGGTTGGGCATATTGCTAACAATGGGACTGGTAGTTCGCATTATTAACAATCCCACCTCCCCAGTCAAAAGTACTTTTTTTTAACAGATGATAATGGAATGGTAACCCCACCCGCGCTGTCGGAATACACCGGTGGGGCACCAGTAAAGGATGATAGGTGAGGATGAAGTAGGTCAGTTAGCCCATCGTGACGAATTCAACAAAAATTGTTCACGATGGTTTCCAATGAGAACCACGTAGAAGTCGACCTAATAAAGCATATTGCTAGCAATGGGGCTGTCAAACTCAATTACTAACAATCCCTTTCCCCCCAGTCAAAAGTACTTTTGACTGAACACTTTGGTCAAAAGTGGTTTAGACTGAAAATTATTGGTTAGGTTAGGTACTTTTAATTGTTATTTTAGTCAGAAGTATTAATGACTAAAGCATACGGTCAAAAGTACTTTTGACTGATTTTGCGAGTCAATAGTACTTTTGACTGGTTAAGAGTTTTTACTGCAACATATACATAATGGCGTCGCGTTAATTCCTAATCGTGAATTTAAAATACACATACCATCAATAAAAAATATAAATGTGTTATAATAAAACTTTTTTTACCTCTTCCGTATGTACGTACAAACGTAGAATATTGTTGAAAATTATAACGGTCCTACATAGTATTTAGACATTATTTATCGATTTAGGTATATACCAATTTTCGAAATTTTCGTTAAATAATTAAATTAATAATATCTCCACACCGTATCCCTTGACTTGAGACAGAGAGAATCAACAAACAGAGATATATGAAACCTGAAATCGTAATACCTAAATGTTTACTGAACACTGACGTTTATCGTAAATATTAATTAACAAATTAAACGAATTTATCATACTAAGTATATCGTGAAATAAACCTCCAATATAATATGCAGACCTTGTAAATTGGAATCGTACTTACATTGTATACATATAAGTTTCAATGTACACAAGTAATACGCAGATACGGTTCAACAGAAAATTAACTATTGATGTAAGATAAGTTCACAGTACCTACTCTTTTTGTTTTACGTATTTATTGTCTGCTCTTAGTCCAAACAATTAGCATTATGAAAAAAATATCGTTTATTTTGAGGTCATTAGCATTTTTTTTAACAGAGAAAGTGTGCGGGGAAAAGGATTGTTATTACTAGAGACAAACTTTCATATCGACCTCCACGTAGCCCTGCCTGAAAACTATCGTAGTTAAATTTTTTTTATACAACTTAGAATGGCAAACAAGCTGACGGCCCACCTGATGGAAAGTGGTAACCGTCGCCTATAGACATGAGCAGTACCATGGACATAACAGTGTATACTGTTTCACCCATGATACCCCCCATGCGTTGCCATTCCTGAGGACTCAGATGTTATTCCTCTGTACCCTGTAAATTTACGCCATATCCTACCCTTCAAACCGAAACACGGCCATGCAAACACAACTACTTCACGGTAGAAATTTGTGTGAATTCATCACGATGGGCAAACTGGTATACTTTAATCCTTACCTATCATCAATCACTGGTGCCCCGCTATCGTATACCAATAGTGCAAGTGAAGTAACCATTCCTTTATCACACAATAAAAAAAAACATTGAAAGTGAACAGTTGCCAAAGAAACATACGTCGAAAACCGGATAATTTTTTATTCATGATCCGACATTTCAATGTAAATTTGGCGATGTAGTCCTTTTAAACCACTAATTTACCTTAAAAAAAAAACTATCTGTAAAAATATTATATCATAGACAAAACCACAGAGTATGTTAATACATAATTAAAAAAAAACATTAATGCATAATTTACATTCCATCGCCCACGATTATAATAAACTGTGTATGTTCTCTTCTAGGCCTGTTTTCAAAATGCCACAGAAACGGCAGAACGTCGATCCGGAGCTGCCAGACTTCACGGACGTTTTAGAAGAAACAGAAAGGGTATGTAATTATTTATTTATATTATATTTGAGAAACATATTCTCAATTAATGTATATTTATTATAAATACGAAATTTTGTAACGATGCATGAATGTTTGTTAATCTTTCACGCAAAAACTACTGAACGTATTTGAATGAAATTTGGTACACGAGTATGTTATATCCTAATTTAGCACATAGAATACTTTATATATTGATTCAGGCAGATGAAGCCGCGGGATACGGCTAGCTGACAATAAATCAATTTAGTGATCAAATAGCGATTCGCCCGGCTTGGGTATATATAGGTAAAAGATAGATAAAATACTACTCACTAATAATGTGGCTTTCTATAGATGTAAGAATTTTTTAAATTTATTAAGTATTTTGTTTAAGTTTAGCCATAACAAACAAAAATATTTTCATTTTTATAATATTAGATGAAGGCTCATACATTCATCTGGAAGTGCCCACAAGAGCACCCAAGCCGATTTAGAAAAGTCCTTTCCTAAATTGGCATGACGAAGAATCGAATCCAGTAAAAAGATAAAGCAACATCTCTACCCCTACACCACGGAAGGCATCACATTAATGCGAATTTGAATATGTAACGTCATATTGAATATGTAATGTCATATTGAATATGCCATGTCATATTGAATATGTAACATCATATTGAATATGCAATGTTATATTGAATTTGTAATATCATATTGAATATGCAATGTCATATTGAATTTGTAATATCATATTGAATATGCAATGTTATATTGAATTTGTAATATCATATTGAATATATAATTTCATATCGAATATGTAACGTCATATTGAATATGTAATGTCATATTCTATATACAATGTCATATTGAATATGCAACGTGATATTGAATATGTAATGTTATGTTGAATATGTAATGCCATGTTGAATATGTAATGTCATATTTTCTATAGTTTCGTTACGATATTTTTTTTTCAGGTAATTCAACAATGCTTCAAACAGTATCAGTTAGAAGAAGTGTTCTTATCGTTCAACGGTGGGAAGGACTGCACAGTTTTGTTAGACGTGACAATAAAATTATTACGTGACATTTACAAATGTGAAAACATCAGTAAAAATTTAAAAGTCGTATATATAAGGACGAAAGACCCGTTTAATGAAATAGAAGAATTTGTTAAATTAGTTGAGGAACATTATAATGTGAAATTAACGGTAATGGAAGGTGAAATGCGGACGACGTTGCAAAGGATACTTGAAGAGGACGGAAGTTTGAAGGCGTGCCTTATGGGAACGAGGCGTACAGATCCTTACAGTCACGATTTAAAATTTATCCAGGTAACATGTTGTTACTAATTCAATTTCTGATACTAACAGCACCAGGCATTTTTTTTTTAATGGATAATAATGGACTAGTAACCGCGCCCGCGCTATCGGAATACGCTGGCGGGCCACCAGTGAGGGATGATAGGTGAGGATGAAAGCAGGTCAGTTGGCCTCTAGCGATGAATTCATAAAAAAACAATCAAGATGGTTTCCAGGGGGAACCGCGTGGAGGTCGACCTGATAAGGTATATTGTTAGTCCCATTATTAACAATCCCTTTACCCCCAGCACCACTCTTAGGGAGGGTAGCGGGGCATGGTCTCTTTTTTAATAAAAATGAAATAGTGATCTCGCGGGGGAAAAGAGATTGTTAGTAATGGAGACTGAGTATCCCATTGCTAGCAATATACCCAACCAAGTCGACCTCCTCGCGGTTCTCCCTGGAAACTATCATGGTTAGTTCCTGATGAATTCATCATGATGGGCTAACTGACCTGTTTTCATTCTCATCTCCCTTCACTGGTGCTCCGCCAGCGTAACGCAGGCGGGGTTAATGATAGGTGAGGATGAAACAGGTCAGTTTACCCCATTTCTCAAAATCTCCAAGGAATAGAGAACAGTCTGTGCCCGGGAGTGTGAGATATAAAAATAGTAACCAAATGAAATAGTGATCCCGCTTGTGCTTTCCATATACGCAAGCGAGGGATCAGTGAGAATGAAATAGGTCAGTTTGCCCTATTGCTTAAAATCTCTAAGGAATAGGGCACAGTCTACGCCCGGGAATGTGAGATATAAAAATTAACAGAGATTGTACTAATTCTTTTTTTTACCACTGAGGTGGCAAACAAGCATACGGCTGATGGTAAGCGCTTACTGTATACGCCTATAGACGCGTGAATGCAACTATATTTGATCTATTCACACTTCAAATTTATCAGTAACTCTATACATGAGCAGACACCAAACAAAAGTTTTCTTTTTTAAACACATCTAAGCTATGGTTGCCATTTTGGCTAAATAAATTTACACTATTTAAGAAATAACTCGCGTATATTATATTAACGCATAATAGACAAAAAAATCTTTAAATATAATTATAAATGCTACATAATATTGACATTCAAGATTGCATAGTCATTACATCAATCTTAAGGTTTTTTACACAGGATGCTAAGTAGGTAGTAGGTAGGTTGAATACTAATGGGAAAGTGTGTCAAGGGGACTATAAATACTGGTAAATATCTATGTTTTCTATTTTGATAAATGTTATATAATGTAAATGTACTCTGTAAGGAGCCCAGTGTAAACAACTAAGGAGGGGGAGGGGGGCATTTTAATGATTCTTTTTACGCGTACGATGTTGCGTACAGAAGTTAGTTTAGAGTAAAACTGGTGAAGGTAATACGTGCAATTAATATATGCAGATTCAATACATACATTTTGCTCTTTTATTATATCGTGATGTGAATTTAAAATTGTTTCACGGAAAAAAAATACTTCATTTATGAAAAAATTTGTTATTTTGATTTAAAACGAAACTTCTGAGCCGATTTTGATAAAATTTATATTGTATATATAAGTGACTGAGTTATGGGGTAACAAACAAAAAAATTGAGAACCTCCTTTTTTGAAATCGGTTAAAACCGTACAACAGAATGACCACTTTTTATAAATACATTACAAAAAGTGGCCAGTATGTTTTATATCCCTCACCAGAGGGAGACTTTGTACAAAAGTCGATTGCTTGGGTACCTCTGTCCCATTCGTGTTTCAACCGTGAAGCAGTTGTGTTTGCATGGCTGTGTTTCGGTTTGAAGGGTGGGATATGGCGTGAATTTACAGGGTACAGAGGAATAACACCTGAGTCCTCAGGAATGGCAACGCATGGGGGGTATCATGGGCGAAACAGTATACTCTGTTATGTCCATGGTACTGCTCGTGTCTATAGGCGACGGTTACCACTTTCCATCAGGTGGGCCGTCAACTTGTTTGCCATTCTAAGTTGTATAAAATTTTTTTTTTCAAGTTCTATATTTTTTTATTCAGCACACCGACCACAACTGGCCGTCGATACAGCGAGTATCGCCGCTCCTCAACTGGTCCTACCATCACATATGGAGTTACCTGATAAAACGAAATGTGCCTTACTGCAATCTTTATGATAAAGGGTAATTATTTTTATATATTTTGCAGGACCATAAACTAATAGTTTTTTTTTTATTTATCTATTAATTTATAAGCTTCAAAAGTTTGGGCTAGAATTTTGGTTTTTTTCAGATATTAATTGTATAATTTCTGATAACATAATAGTTCTCAAATAAATTAATAAATTAATGAAATTACGTGCAGTGTTAAAAAACAACTAGACTGACAGGAGTTTGTAAGAGAGTGACGTCACGCGTCTTTGATTGGTGTTCGATATCACGTGATTTCTTTGTGTAATTTCACGAATTTCTTTTTAGAAAATATTAATTAATCCTATATATTTATGTGTTTTGAATTATTTTCTTGATATTTTAAACATCTATCAATCATGCAAAACAAAAATTAATGAAGACTTTTCATGATGGCAACTACCCTATTCTCAGAGAACTACTGATATAATACAATGTTATGATATTCTGTGTGGTCCCGGCATAGAATAGGCCACCCCTTATCCCGTCGGTGTCCTAAGAGCCTATTAAGGAAGAGTGATAGATAAACAACAACGTCTCTCTTAAAACATCTCTAAAGCCTGACTGCGATTGGTAATCCGCCTGCCAAGCGTGGCAACTACTGACAAAACCCCCCAAGGTAGGCTTATGTTTAGCAGTGGACAGTCAAAGGCTGATATGAACACCAGAGGGAGACTTTGTACAAAAGTCGATTGCTTGGTTACCTCTGTCCCATTCGTGTTTCAACCGTGAAGCAGTTGTGTTTGCATGGCTGTGTTTCGGTTTGAAGGGTGAGATATAGCGTAAATTTACTGGGTACAGAGGAATAACACCTGAGTCCTCAGGAATGGCAACGCATAGGGGTATCATGGGCGAAACAGTATACTCTGTTATGTGACCATGGTACTGGCTCATGTCTATAGGCGGCGGTTACCACTTTCCATCAGGTGGGCTGTCAGCTTGTTTGCCATTCTATGCTGTATAAAAAAATGCGAGCCCTATGGCAAACATGGTGGTAGATCTACCTCTTATAAGGAGACCTATGCCCTGTATCAGTAGAAAGTTAATGGAGTATAAATTATTTATTAATAAAAAAATGTTATTATTTATTAGGTATACGTCAATAGGCAGCACCCAAAATACGTGGCCGAACCCTGCACTCGCATACAAGGACCACAGCGGCTGCCTCTCGTATTTACCCGCTTGGCGACTCTCCGACGCTACTCTAGAAAGAGCCGGCCGAGGGACACCCCCACAGCCAACCGTCAATGGACATAACACAAGCAAACAAGTTGTAAACTCTCATAGTAACGGCGATATACACTAGTGGCGGGAGTTCATACCGCGGCCTAACAACTTCTGTATTACCTGTCAATATTCAAACAAAAATGTTCGGGGCATGCGCTTTAAACAAAAGCCATAGACAAAAAGCCTGCGTTATAAAATCTTTTATATGTAAAATTGTTACTGCTTAGCTATAAATTATTTTGGAGTTACATTCCGGTCTATCTATTCGGCCAAGGCAGAATGATACAACGCAACTATGGTCAAAAATTTGTGAATAAACTAGTGAATACTTTAAAACATAATGGATTCCATAAATATAAAATAATTGCCTTATTCTTTGTGATAGATTTATGTGTAACTCATTCTGTGATTTTTAGAAAAATACGCGACAACTTTTAATGTTTTTTTTTTTTTTTTTTTTTATTGACACATAATACAGATGTTCAGACTTCGGTATGAACACATTAAAATAAAATAGATCAAATTTATTACAATAGAATACTCGAATATACTTACTACAATCACTAATTAGCATTAGATTTTGTTTTTAGTTAAAAAAAAATTAATATAATAATTTCATTGTTTCAAAGTATGATAAATCCTGTTTATCATATATATGAATAATTATGAATAAAAAGTGATAAAAATGCAATATATATAATGTACCTTTGTAATATATAATGCAAATCTACATTCATAATTTTCTCAAAAACAGTACCTCTGATTATTACCTATTTCAACTATTAGTGTAGGTTCTTTATTTCTTTTTTCATATTTTTCTTGTATTTTTCTTCGAAAGAATGAGAACAAATTAAGGATCAGATAAGATCATAGACAGAATTCCATACAGTGATTATTGCAAGTGTATTCGGGCATTTATTGTTATTATACAATACAAGATATAAAAATGGTAAAAGAATAAAATTTTATAATAATGTTATGAAATTAAACAATTTTCTCCAAGAAATTTTTATAGATCGGAGTACAAAATGTAATTGATACTTTTTATTCTCGAAATTTCTAATAAACTCTACAGCATGGATAGGTTCTTAATTTTACATACTGCCAACGATTGCAATCTCACGCTCATTGGCTTAATTAAGATCATATTCCGGGTTCTAGTCTCTTAAAAGAGGCACACATGTCTTTGTATATAGTTAAAAACTCCACTCGCTACCCCAAACAATGCTAGTATTTGTACGAACCCCCCCCCCCCCCCCCCAATGTCCATATTAATCCTGTGCTAACCTCGAAGAAAATTGTTCAGTTTTATAAATTAGGTCGTCATACTCACTCCGTTGCAGAATACATACTTGTATTTATGAAAATTGGCAGCTATAATACTTACATAAAAAATATTGTATGACAGATCTCTTGATACATATTTAAATGTATTGAAATGTGAAAGAAATACTTAATTTCAAATAGATATTTTCTCCTTAAAAGTGTGTACTTATTAAGGTTATTTATTTATTTAAAGCAAACAGACAGACAGCTATAACAAGCTGAAAATTAAAAAAAAAAACAACAGTGAACAAAAGTATGACTTAATTCCTCTAGCTAGACAATGCAAAATACAATAGTACAATTATTTTTATTATTAATTTATTAATATTAAAAAACAGGAATATTTGACAATTAAATTTATATAATTCTCATACGTAGCAAATTTTTTTATTTATTAATTAATGTTATACTTACACTCACACATAGATATTATTAATTTATATATTTGTAAATACATAACAAATTATTGTGATATATTTGCAAAATCTGATTATTTATTAGAACTGTTATATGTAAATAATATAAACGTAAACAATCAGTTCTGGATAAAAATTTTAACTGGTTGATAGAATCATCATTGGAAATGATGTTTCCTGTCGTGTCCTTTTAAACGAGTGGAAAAAATGCGTATCGATACATACGTTATCGCTACCGCGTGCATGAGCTAGAACGAGACAGCAGCATCTTACGTATTGTTCTTGTTCCTGCACGCGTGTCTATAGATAGATTTGCATACCACTTATTAAGGTGTCTTTCGCTGTTTTAAATTACGATAAGTAATTATTAATTAGATAATGTCTAATATTATTTTTGACATTCCTAGAATGAAACTTCTAAAATATCATTATGCTATTAAAACGGCATGTTTCTAAATTACTGGCTGATAATAATTTTTTTTTTTTTATAACACTGTTTATGCAAAAATTTAAAAAAACTTAATCTGAAAACCAATACTTTTAGATTGGCCCAAAAATAATGTAAACATGGCTTGAAGATCGGATCTAATTGTAATTATTTACGTTTACATTACGATCAGAATAACTTAAAGTTGATTGGAAGAAATCTCTTTTATGGGATAAGTCCGTTATTCTACTCTTTTCTTAAGAACTTAAAATACATTCTTTAATTTAAGACTACTGTACAGTAGTGTTACAAAACAAATTTAAAAAGAATATGAAACGGTGACAGGGTTTTATTCGTAGTAATATCAATTAAATATTGTGTTTTATTTGTGATTATTGTTTTTAAACACCTTTTTTTTTTTTTTCACTAATTCACCAAACATTTTGAGGATAACGCCCGAATCGTTTGTGTCTTGCACGAATTTTTATTTTTATCTCACGTTTTAAAGGTATTTTTAAAGGTTGTTTATTTTTATGTTGCAATAAAAATATTGATTACACAATAAGCTCGTTTATTTAATTAATCCTTATGCTATATATTTACAAATTTTTATTTACGTAGAAGTACGAGTCTAAGTTTTGTTCCCACTATTGTTGGGTTTCACATGCTTATTGATGAATTCTTGAAACATGGCAACATCTTGTGGCTTGTCATCTGTAATAAAAATAAAGTAATAATTAAAAAAAAATAAAAGTTACGTCTGCCCAGCCCAGCTTTTTTTTTATTTGGCAAAGGTCTTTGACATTTGAAAATGGCGCCGTACAAATACCATATTTGTCTTTTACCAAAAATTATAGCCAGTGTCTAGTCTAGACATGATATAAGGATTCTATCAATGCTCCATTAAGCCAAATCTGTTCAGACATTTAGAAGTTATGGTGGCATAAATAAATTCACATACATACATGAACCCTGAAAATACCACACTTTATTTTTGGGCAGACGCGTAAAAAGATGTTTAAATTATCCTCGAAAATGTTTTATATTTCTGAAGGTGTCGATCAAGCTACAGTACCTAATAGAAAGTTGTATTTTATTTTGATGGGCACAAAGGTATCTTTAAAATCGCACATACAGAAAGTTAGATGAAATTCAGAATGAGAATTTAAAACTTGAGTTTCCTACATGGAGTTCAATACTCTAAACATACAGATATCGAGGAGAACGGTTGTAACTATGGACTAGAAATTGTAAGTAATGTTCTCTTTCAGATTGGCCTCCACGCGGTCTCCTTATTCAATCACCTTGATGATTTTTTTTTTGATGGGTGAAAATAGTATGGTAAGCCTGCGCTAACGGGATACGCTGGCGAGACACCAGTGAAGGGTGATAGATGAGAATGAAAACAGGCCAGTTAGCCCATCATGATGATTCCTCAGAAATTAACCATGATAGTTCCCAGGGGGAACCGCGAGGAGGTCGACCTGGTTGGGTATATTGCTAGCAATGGGATTCTCAGTCTCCATTACTAACAATCCCTTTCCCCCCCTTTAATCACCTTGATTAAGTCCTAATATATTCGTCACGATGACCCTACTATCCCGATTTCATCCTCACCAATCATCCCTCACTAGGACCCCGCTAGCTTTAACCAATATTTCGATTTCATTAACAAAACTTACCAATATCAGGTTTGACTTCAGTGCCCTCTTCATCGCTCGAGCTCTCGTTGCCAGGATGTTTAAGGTACACATCGCTGGTCTCCCGCCCTACTGGCACCTCGTCTATTAATTTCTTCTTTTCCAACACTACATTTGGATTATCTGAAAATAAAATAATGTGACTATCATTTACATATCATTTTGATGTGCATTTCAAATTTCGACTCTATTACTATTATTTGAGTGAGTATTTTATGCGATAACTTGGCCATTTCTATTTTTTTTTAAAGCATAGTTCTGTAACAGTCTAAGAACAAATTTTAAATACACTATAGGGACTTAACACGACGCTATTGCAAGTAAATAGTGCCTGCATGTCTGATTTTTGTTGCCGACGTTTCAACATGGATTCCACCACGTGTATATAAAATATCCCCATAGTATATTTAAAATATGTGTCAACAAAACAAAAGTTTAAAATTAACTACGATTGTTGTAAATATTATAACAAAGTTCAATACCTCTTTTGAGCCTTTTTTCTTCGTCTTTCTTTTTCTGCTCCTCCAATTTTTGTGCGCGCATCTTCAACCAGTCCTGTTTATATTCTCTGGAAAATATATAAAAAAAAATTAAAAGTTAAGCACAAAATGACTAAAAATGGATTTTTTTTAACAAACTAGTTATCGGATCATTTGATGGAAAATGATAATCTTTGATTTTCACGAATCAATCATGGCATCGCCATTGTTTATTAAAAGTTTTTATTTTTAAAGTGTACATATTTTAATATGATTTTAATATAAAATAATACAAACTTTTCATACTCTTCAGCTGCTGCATCAACCAGTTTAAAGAACTCATCTATGCCCTGCAAATAATTATATAACCGACTATATAAATCAAATCTAAGATAACTCAGTTTTATTAAATTTTATAAATTAAAAAAAAATACATTTTTCATGATTCCTATATTATATAAACTACTTTCAATGTTTCAAAATTTTGTCTGGTTTGTATATTATAAAAATTTTAGTTTATCTGAAATTTACTAGTAAATTACTTAACCGATTTTCACGATTCTTTTTAGGGTCTACTGCCCTGTTAGCCCCATTTTAATTTTATATCGATTCAAGATTGCAAAGAAAAATCTATATATAAACATAAAATAGGTATTTACAATGAACCTACGATTTGCGTTATGAAACATATCGTAGTTTATTGGTATGTATGTTTATGATTTTTTATTTAGATATTGTTATGATTCTTTAGCCTTAGCGTAAGGAAACTTAAAAAAATAAGAGAAGCACAACTGACCGCCCCAGTGTGTGAGCTAACGCCGCAACATTTGAGGTCCGAATAGAAAGCGTCAAGCGCGAGCGCCATAGATCGCGTAAGGTTCCCCACGTACGAAGTGCCACCCTCGCTCTCACTATCGCCGGCCGTCTCCAGCGCCTCTTGGAACGCTTCGAAGTCACGCATCCATTCCACCGCGTACGAATTATCCACTACATCTGTCTGGAAATTTAAATACATTTTTTTATATTTGCTCACTGCGTCACACGAATAAAGTTACTAGTATATGTAGCTAAAACAACAACCAAAGAATAGGTACAGAAGCATAACATCTAAGTCCTCAAGACGGGCAACACATGAAGGCTATCAGGGGCGACACAGTATACTACGTCCAAAGGTACTAGTTCACGTTAAATGTAATAATCGAATGGTAACACTCTCGATTGTCAATAGGAACATTTTATTCTCGTATGTGACAATAAATCAATTATTAGAGGTAGAAAGAAAAAAAATGGTAGTTGGTGTCCGTTCTCTCCAATGGAAATATAAAAAATTATCGTTGTTGTTATTTAATATTTAAAAAAAGACAATTCCACAATCTTGAAATATATCGGGAATTTAAAACCGTTGTTATTGTCGATATAAATTATGGAAATAGTTTGCTTGTTTGACGCTAAAAGGACACTTCAAGAATCGAAAATCTATAGGAAATCAAAACCCTTAGTACGTATAACATTTACGAGACAATCTTAGGTAACTTTACCATGTTTTAGGAAACTGAATAATCTAAGTATGTTATAAGGCAATTAAAGGAATTTTAGTAAATAAAGGGGTAAGTCATTTGATCATTATTTGAATTTAGATAGTGACTTTCGTAACAGTTTATTGTTACACAATATTTTTTAGAAATATTGGCGACTTGTCTGTATGATTGTTACGGAATCACACAAAAACTACTATTAAATCAAATATATCCAATTTGATCTAATTCATTAATTTTAGCGAATCAAAGAAAGCAAAAAGTCAATTAGGTATTTACAAAAATGTTTGTATAAAATAAGCTTTGTTTATTTATTTATTTCTTATTGTATTTTATAATGTAGTTGGTATTTATTAACTCTTATTATGGACCCTGTTGGGCACAGCAAGTAGGAGAGGGGGACAATATTTTTTTACTTTAGAAATAATGAAATAGTTTATTACAATATTATTCAATGTATATTTTCTGTATTATTATTATTATTAATTTAGAATTAGATGATTATGCTAAGTTTGAAACTAGATAGTGTTGTGTGATATGTCTTTTTTTGTAATGGGTAGCAATGAAATGGGAACCCCACCCACGCTATCGGTATACACCCGCGGGGCACCAGTGAAGGATGATAGGTGAGGATTAATCATTAGTCATTTATTCAAAAAACAATGTACATTGTGTCTGAAATAAGGGATAAACATACAAAAATTATTACATTAACCTGAATATTACAACCATCCAATAACTATAATAATAACAATAAATTAATGAAGCAGGTCAGTTAGTCCTTGGTGATGAATTCAACAAGAAATATTCACGATGGTTTTCAGGGGGAATCACGTGGAGGTCGAACTAATAGGGCATATTGCTAGCAATGGGGCTGTCAAACTCCATTACTAACAATCCCTTTCTCCCCTGTTTAATATGTCTAGTAGTACATATTATTGTTAATTGTAATAATAATTACCTTATTCATGACCACAATAAACGGAAGCCTGGTCTTGTACAGTATGGAACATGCGTACAGCATGTTGGACATGAACGTGATGGGGGAGACACTGCGTACAGTGTCCATAACATACACGATGACAGTGGGACACGCGGACGCCAACGACTCACTCACTATTGTACCCGATGCAGACCATGTGAACACTTCTATTTGACCTGTAGAACATTTAAAGTAGCAAATATACATAAGGGAAAAAGCAAGAAATACCTATATACAGAGACTGTCATCTATCTATATATTATTGGCACAATTAGTGAACAATTTTGGCATATCTCATTTTCAAAATAACAATGAAAAAATTAAACATAGCAGTATCTAAAGGTATTGATTATATTTTATATAAAGTAATATTATAAAGAGGAAATGATTTTTTTGTATATAATAGATAAAGTAAAAAAAAATACTTAATCAATTATAAAAAAAATCTTTCACTTATAGAAAGCTACATTATCAGTGAGATGGGTTTTATTTAATTAAAAAAAAAGTGCAAAGCCAAAGTGTGCCGATAGTTGGGCACAATATAATTTAAATATATTTATCTTTACTTTTAAATGTCGACGCAAAGAAAGGCACTTATACTGTACCTGTATGTTTAAACAATAAAAAAATGCACCTACATAATAACCATCATCATCATATCAGCCTTTAACTATCCACTGCTGAACATAAGCCTCCCCCTTGGGAGGGTTTTGCCAGTAGTTGCCACTCTTGACAGGCGGATTGGCAACCACAGTTCCCTAACTGCAGTTGCCAATCCACCTATCAGGTGATGACAGGTTAGAGATGTTTTAAGAGGGACGCTGCTGCCCATTCCTCGCCCTTCGCCTTAGTCGCCTCTTACGACAGCCATCCACTGTTTGAATTTCTTTTGTATCTACATAAACCACTGCCATTAAGTCTTAAATTATATAAAAAAGTATCATTACCTGGAGTATCTATTACACAATATTTGTGTTTTTTGCCAGCTTTTTCAATGAGATTCACAACTTGACCAAACTTTGTAGAGAATAGGTTTAGGGTGGTCACTATACCACCATTTGGACCTAATCCATACTGTTTCATCACTTCTTTGTAATCCACAGTGTCTCTTATATCTACAATAATAAAATACAATTTAATTCATATATAACATAATCATTATGATAGTCTCACAAAAATAAATACAACCACTTATTCTTCTCCTGTTAATAACCTAATTTTGTTTAAATATTTAATATATTTTTGTTGAAACATTTAAATGCTTTCTAAGAGTATTCATTGCATGATTCACCTTTGTTTTTTTAAAGTAACCTATTTCTATTATATATTCTAGCTTTTTCTATGCTCCTTGTTTGTTTTTTTAAATACCCATTAAAAAAATAACCATTATTTTCATTTATTCTCTGATATGAATATACTTTTTAAAAATAGTAGCATTCTAATTTCAAATACTTAAAAATTTTATATAGTAACTTACCAATATTAGCTGGGTAAGGTACTTCACGACAGGCTGGGTCCAAATTAATGAGATATGGTCTTGAACCTTCAACAATTTTACTAGCAAGACGTCTCGTAAACGAAGTCTTGCCAGCACCCGCCATACCTTAAAAAAGTTGAGCATACATAAATCCCATCTCATCTACCCATTATTAATAACAAGGGGTCAGAATGTTTTTATCAATTCATAGAGTAGCCATTGCATTTAGGACTCTATCTTCACATAAAATAGGTTATGCCTTATGCTAAAGACAAAACTAATAATAGACAGTGAATAAAAGTACGTAAATATAACCAGGAATAGGAAATTTTAATATCATTATTATCTCAAAAAGTACAGTATGCATCAGATACAGTATCTAACTCTTTATTGTTTTCTCCAAAAGACTGCAACAGTAAATTTATTATGGACACAAACAATTACAAGATACACATTATTAAAATAATGTCTTATCTTTGCTTGGAGTAAATTCTTTTATGAATTAATTAACCAATAGTATGTAATAAAGAAAATCTAACCTAAAATAATCAGACAGACGGGCTTCCTTATTACTTCCACCACTGTATCCGGATCAGAAGTTTCAGACGAAGACATTTTAAAATAAGTGTAACACAGGTGGAAAGATAATTTCAGTAGTCACAATGCTTTTTATTTTAATTCGAAATTTAATACTTAGCAATGTAAATAAACAAATTGATTGATTGAAATTAGATACCTAACACACAGACTACTTAAAGAACTACCTAGCCAACTAAATATAGTCTAATGAATATGTCAAAGTCAAACAAATTTGACAGCTTTGACCATTTGACTTTGACGATATTTTTTTTTTCTCACAGATAGATACACTTGATATAAAATTATTTATTAACTTTTTGTTCGCTACTTCATATCCGTGAATTTTCGAAGTAGAAATACAATGAAATAGACTGCGCAATCAAATAAAGTATACAATAATTTTTAAATTAGACCTTCAATAACACTATAGTAGAAACCGCATTCAATTTCATGCAGTAATTATTACATAATTCTGGAACAAATATAGTATAGATATACCATCATGGCTAATTCTAGTTGAATTCGTCAGGATGGGCTAACTGACCTGGCTTTTCATCCTCACCAATCATCCCTTAGTGGTGCCCCGCCAGTGTATACCGATAGCGCAGGTGGGGTTACCATTCCATTATCACCCATTAAAAAAAAAACCCTAGCTTTGCATAATTGCAATTTACTATTGAATGGTCGAGGGATGGGCAGTAGTGTCTCTCCTAAAACCAAAGGCTAGCTGTGGTTGAAAAGCCGCCAGCCAAGTGTGGTAACTACTAACAGTATCCCCAAATGGGAAATTATGGGAGGAAACGGCACTCAGTCCTTTCACTCGGTACCGTTATTTATGGTAGTCTATAGGGGAAGCCTAAGTTCAGCAGTGGATAGTTAACAGCTGATATGATATATGATAAAGTATGTATATTATAAACAGGACCACATTAAACAAATGGGGGGCCCTAAGAAGTGAACATATGTAGCCACTAAAACAATATTTCTCCAAAAAGAGGCACTTTATTAGCTTATTTATTTACATTATTTACAATAAACAGTAAAATATATTTATTGTACTTCTTTCTCAAGATTTAAAAACATTATCGGGTATAGGTGGCCAAGCGTTGATATTCTTTTTTGTATGATCAGTCTTAAGGTATCCGTGTACGTCGCAGGCGGCTTGCACGTTGACGGATCACGCCAATGGAGCCCTGAACAAAAAATACATTATTAAACATGATGTATATAGCCAAGATATGTAAGTATAAAAAACAATATATGTATAAATAAATACACATTATAGATAATTCCTGGTGGGGTATTATCCACAAAGATAAAATTCTCGACAAAAATGTACTAAGTCACTTTATTTTCCTTTATATATATATATGACTGAATTAATATAAAAGAAAATAATTCTAATAAGTTTTTTTTTTACTTTAAAACATAGGATTAAGATGTATCATAAAGAATATACCTGTGGAGTCGCATGTGAAAAGAGCTGGCGAGGGCACATGATCTCTGGTGTAGTTCCATAAACAATCTCTCAATACTTGGACAGTCTGTAAAAAATATAAGCATCTTTTATTAAAAAAAAAAACCTAATATCAATAAAAATTTTATAATACATTTTACACTTTCACTACATGAAATTACACATAACTAGGTAAACAAGATGTAGGAGTTTTAAAAGTCAAATATGAGTGATTTACCTCGCTGGCTGTGAGTTCAGGGGCCAGTTCCAGCATGTGACAGAGTGGATGCGGCAACAACTGTCCCAATGTCATTGTGGCGAGCAACTCTGATAGTGCCACCCTTTCGCGGGCCAACTCTGGCGACTGACTGTGGCGATCTATGATAAAGTGAAAATATGTGTACGTAAAAGTAAAAATACTTATATATATAGAACCAATAATGTACAACATAAGTTTTAGTTAATTGGTCCTTAGAGCCGGATATAACATATAAATGTATATAAATATATAAATATCTTTACTATAAAGATATGACTGCATCCCAGGTACGCAAGGTCAATGCGGAGAGAGGCGGAGCTCCAGGCTCTTCATGCCTCTCTCCGCAATGACCCCTCCAGGTTAGATGTGTTCACTTGAAAACCGATGAGATTTAATGTCTTAATCTTTATCATTCAGTAAAATCTGCTTTTAATTGAAACAAAATATAATATAATACACCGTGTGGCGGTGGCGGCAATCGACTTTAGGTAGAGTGCAGGCCGCTTGTACAGCTCGCGTGTGGACAGTGTACTTACCAGTGGCGAGATGCGCGCGCAGTCGATGCAGAAGCGTAGCGGCGACGGCCCGCAGCAGCGCCGATGCGAGGCAGAGTGCGGGCCGCGCGGATGCAGCCCGCCGCAAGGCGGCCCGCGATACCGAACATCCCTCCAGCACGGCGCGCATATACAACTCGCGCTCTATGCTCACTTGCTGCACACAATCACACGACTCAGTACTTTTTTTAACGAGTGATAATTAAATGGTAACCCCACCTGCCCCATCGGTACACGCTTGCGGGGCACCAGTGATGTCAGTCAGCCCATCGTAACGAATTCCACTAGAATTAATCACGATAGTTTCTAGGGGGAACCGCATGGAAGGCAGCCTGATAGGGTGTTTTGCTAGTTATGGGGAAATTATACCTCTTTAATAATATTCCCTTTCCCTTCACGACTCAGTACTGTCACACATTGACACATTAAGGACTGCAGAAACAAGCAACATTTTGCCCGTTGCAAAATGTCCATCGTGTGCTAGGCCCTAACGCCAGTTCAAAGCAAGCGCGTTTTTATCATATCAATTCAAAGCTTACATTATATAAATAGAATAAACCAAAAACTGATCAAGTTTTCTTATCCTTGTGGGATTGAATAGTGTTACCATTATGTACATTTATTACTCAATATATGAGAGAAAATATAAAATTAAATTAAAAAATAAAAACAATACAAAATATTTCAAAGAACAAGATAAATTATTTGGATTTAAGTATAGACTTAAAATATGTTTCCGTTTATTATTGAAATTGACCGCCATCAATTTATGTATATTGATTTAAAAGTAAAATAAGTAAGTACATATTTATTTTTATATTATATCAGAAAAAATACTATCCAATACAAATGAAAAAAATACACCTAATCTGGGACATTCTTAGAACTATTATTGACAACACTGAAAAAAGCACCTTTTGATTTGATTTAAAAAATACATGTCAAAATTTAGTCAACAAAATATCAAAATAACTTAAGTACTAAATTTTGACTCCTTTTTGACACTTTATTCATCATTAATCATTTTAAATCTAAATAATCTAAGCTCTCAAGCTTAGCAGGCACTGCGAGAAATTGTAAGCTGATTTTCGTTCAATTTGAAAATGGAATTTCCTGAAACCTGATCATAAAGGTAATTAATACTTCTCGTAGGGTCCTGTTCTCCTGGTACTTTCTGGCAGTCAATTGATAACTTTTTGTGGTTTGAAATCGCGAGCGATTAATAAATAAGCCCACTATGAAAATGGGAGAACGAAGGAGGGAGGGACAACACCATCCTTAAAATGATAGCTGAGGATGTCCATGCATCTGTACTGGGGCATTTCGTCAAGACTATGACTAAAACACAAAATAACCATGCCCTGGTTTGTTGCCGCCCTGGCCGAATGTCTTTCGAGTATATGGTTTATTAAATTATAACCTTTTTTATTAACATAATTTTAAGTCTAATACTAACAAAATAGATCTTGTTGTCTGGCTTTAACTGGATTTGGATTTGTATATGGAGTGCAATCGCGTTTAGGCGCATTGCAACTTATTTTGGATAATATTAAAACTATTAATAATATAAACTATTGATAATATAAAAAAAATATAATATAAATACAGAAATAAACTTTGATTTTATTACCTTGGTAAAATCTTCATCCGGCCACGGAAGACCATTATACATAACATCTGGCGAAACAAGTTCTACCAACAATAGTGACAGTGACGTGGCGCCCTCTACAACTCCGCTGTTGCCATCCTAAAATACGAACATAAGCTGCTTATAGTATTCACTAATGTCCATGATACTGTTCGTATCTATAAACGACGGTTACCACTTTTCATTAGGTAGTTGTTCGTCGGCTTTATTGCCATTCCAAATTATATAAAATAAAATAGTGGATCTCACCATGCACGACATGAGCGCGCCCATCAGCAGCTCATTGTTGGTGCTCAGTATGGGCGGAATGCCATCATTGCCGCCGCCATTTTGTTTTCGAACGCCCTTCCCGATGATTCCCGCGTGAAACACTGACGTATGACTCTGCGTCAACTGAGTTATTGGACCCTGGTAGAAATAATATTATTATGTAAAAAATTATACATGTAACGTATTAAAGATTTCATTTTGACAGATGTCAAATTGGTATTTAATTTATTGATATCTCTCTATTTATAATAAAATAATTAATTTGCAAAAGCGATTTGTTTAAGTGGCTGTACTATAAATAAACGACATGATTTTTTTTCAAACAGTTCAATATAACAGTTTGGAAAATAGACATATGCACGTGTATAGAGGTCATCTGTAATTGTTACACAAGTAGTATAGTCATGGGCTATGTCACAGCATCTTTAAAGATTCTAATAGTATTAAAAACACATGTATCTAATAGTTTCGTACAAAAAAAAATTATAGGAGATTTTTGGAAGCGACTAACATGTTTCTGATTGAGGTATATGAGGAGGTCATCTCCAGAGTCCCTGGCGCTGGCGCTAATACTGGTGCTAGTGGTGGCGCTAGTGCGGCTTCCAAAAGCGTGCTCCTCACGGAACATGGCGGTTTCTAATAGTTCACGAAGAGCAATAGCGCGAGCCAATTTGCTGTGTAAACACAGCTTGCGAAGCAAACGGCACGCTGTCTGTACACCGCGCAGTTTGTCCATTATATCTGCCAAGTACACACATTTGTTTACCTTGTTTCTTTGCTTATCTTCTACGAAATATCTAGATATATTATTAAACTAGGCAGCTAACAACCCAACTTATGATAAGTGTTGATATTAAAGATTGACACTTTGTGGAGTTTGGAATTCATCTTATAGTAAATTACCGCAACACACAAAACGACCATGTTCACGTAACGTCAACGTCAGCTTTGCTGTCATATTTTCTGAAGATTTCGAGTTACAGAGCCCAGGTAATTCAATTATATATAATAGGAATACAGCATGCATGCAGCTGCTTAGTGATAATGAATGTACTTTTATTTGAATCTTCCTATAGTAAAACAATCTATCGAGATTACGTAATTTTTATACTTTTACTAAAAACAAAACATTTCGGCTTTGCTCACAGCAAATCCCGACTAGATCTTTCTATTCTGTGACTACTTTAAAGTTGTTCTTAAGAGTACATATAATATTTTATCAGGTTTCTTTTTGGATTACCAATGATTAATATAAAAGTATATATAAAATATAAACATACCTTTCTCGTGTAGGCACCTGAAGAAATACTTAACGGTAGCTTGCACCACTTTCAAGATTACCTCCACGCTTGGCTGCGGGGCTTTTGTTCCCGACATATCAACTCTGTCCAGTACCTAAAGATAAAGCAAAAAGGATTACTGAAAATAAGATACGTTTTTATACTCATAGAAAATTAACATTGCTTGTTACTTTAGATTTTATTGTGGTCGGCGAAATGCGGAAGTTTAACATCGTGTTATGTTCACCATAATGGTAATAGGCGATAAATGCATGTAAAAAATAGCTGCTGCAGCAACGCGGCGTACAGCTATATTTAAAGGGAAGAGAAGGAGAAGGCAAGAAGGAGTAAGAGAAGGAAAAGGAGGAAAGTGAAGGAAGAGGGAAGGAGAAGGGTGAGGGAGAGGAGAAGAAGGAAGAGTAATAAGAGCGAGAGGAAGAGGGATGGAGAAGGGTGAGGAAGAGCAGAAGAAGGAAGAGTAATAGGAGGAAGAAGAGGAAGAGGAGGGAAAAGAATAAGGAGAGGAAGGAAGGAGGTGAAAAATAGGAAAAAAGATAGAGGAACAAGGGAAGGTGAAGAAAGATCGGGAAATGGAGGAGGGAACGAAATAGAAAGAGGAGATATACGTGTGCGAGTGCGTGGCAGGTGGGCATATCGGGCAGCGCGGCACAAGTGGCGGGCGGGCGCGGCCGCAGCAGCCCGGCGTACTGCTGCAGGGCGCCGCCCACCGCGTACAGGCTGGCCTCCACCGCACGCCCGAACGGCCGCGACCGCAGGTGCGACACCTGGTTCGAGTTCTCCCACCTAGAAGACAAACACGACAAAGCTGGGATCAATATATAATATGTATAATGTCTAGAGAAATCATGAGTGAATTTATAATGAACTTACCTTAACAGTTTGATGATATTCAAGCAATAATAATGCAAGTAAGTCTTCTGATCTTTGGGCACATTGTCTTCTATGAAAATCCGTTTTATCTGCGTGTCCGATATCATGGCGTCCCTCAGGGCGTACTCTACGCCCGTTTTTATAAGGTTTTGATATCTCTCTGTGTCCATGTTGATGTCGGTCGAATCATTAGGAATGTGCATACTGATCGTTCCCGACACGATGCGCACCAATAAAGCGAGTGTTGTGTCATTCCGGGAATACTGCAGGAAGTAGCTAATTGTGTTGACGAATTCCGATGGAAGATTATTGCCTAAAAAGAAGAATATATGCATAAATAACATTTTAATATGTTGTAACTTAAATGAAACGAGACGAAATACATGTGAATTTTATTTTTACTTTGTTTTTCATTCCTACATTTTTTTTATTGCTATTATTGTTTTGTTAGGCAGTTTGTCTCTGTTACTTTATCCACTAATTTATTTTATTTGTGAGAACCTATCAGTAGCTTACTTTGTAATCCTAGACTATTTCTATTTATACCAGTGAAGCCTTGGTTTTTCTGTATAAATAAATAAAGTTTGTGTAAATTGTATTGTAACCTAATGACTGATTCGTATTACGTTTTGATAATGTTAGATACATTAGAGGAACAATACATCAATTCTAAAGAAAGATAATACGAAGTCGTAAATACGTACACACTAAAATTAGTATCCTTGCAAGAGAATATTGCTCCAACTGATTCCCAGTAAGCATCTTTTCTCTGATCAGATCTATTTCCTCCGCTACACTATTAAGTAGGGGAATAGTTTTGTCTGGAAATAAACTCTCATACTCCAGTTTCTGTAGAAGATATTCTGAAAAGAAAAACAAATACTGTAAAGGTGTTGATTAATTACAATACTACTTATAATGAATAAAATTTCTAGACATAATTTTAAGAAAACCCCAATTTTAGCACGAATTACATAAAGGTGATAAACGTAGGCGCGACTTACGACTTCAACATAAATAAATGGTGCTATATACCAGGTCACTCAGAAAGTATTGCGAGAAAAAGTTTTTATGTATGTGAGACTGGCCAGTTATAATTTATTTAAAAATATAATTACTTATAAGTAAAAATAGGTACGTTCTAAATTCAAACACTTCCCTCCACATTTTTGCGAGCTAATTAAAATTACCGTGTCTCATTGAAAAAAGGATTTGCGTCAAGAACATTTTCGCGCTGTGATTTTTTATGATTTTAAGTGTCGCGTGAAACCGGACAAATCGTACGATAAACTTCAAATGGCATTCATGGAAGAAGACCCTTCTAAGGCAACCGTGTATCGTTAGTATAATGAATTTAAGCGCGGTCGACTAACTTTGGAGGATGAAGAAAGTGGTCGCCCTTTGACGGCTGTTACGAAAGAAAACGTGCTAATAGTGAAAAATTTGATCCAAGACAATAGACGAGTTACATACCAAGAGATTCAACATATACTGCAGATTGGATCAGAAAGCCTTCACGAGACTCTACACGTGTATTACGGGTGCGGAGGATAGTTTCACGCTGCGTACCGTACAACTTCACCGATGTACCAGAGGGAGACTTTGTACAAAAGTCGATTGCTTGGGTACCTCTGTCCCATTCGTGTTTCAACCGTGAAGCAGTTGTGTTGGCATGACTGTGTTTCGGTTTGAAGGGTGGGATATGGCGTGAATTTACTGGGTACAGAGGAATAACACCTGAGTCCTCAGGAGTGGCAACGCATGGGGAGTATCATGGGCGAAACAGTATACTCTGTTATGTCCATGGTACTGCTCATGTCTATAGGCAACGGTTACCACTTTCCATCAGGTGGGCCGTCAGCTTGTTTGCCATTCTAAGTTGTATAAAAAAAAAAAAAAAAAAAAAAAAAAAAAAAAAAAAAAATGTTCAGAAGCAGGCGAGGGTGGAATGTTGCCATGATATGATAGACAAATTTGAAGCAGGCTCGTCTCGGCATGACATCGTTACAGATGATGAATCCTGGATTTATCAATACGATCCAGAAACAAAACGCCAATCGACGGTTTGGGTGTTACAAAACGAATCAACGCCTACCAAAGTAAAGCGACCTAGAAGCGGGGAGAAGATTTTGATCGCGAGCTTTTTCAATTTGACTGGCTACTTGGTGTCAATTCCTTTACAAAACCAAAGAGGCATTAGTGCCGAATGGTATACTACCAAATGCTTGGCAGAAGTTATCTCTGTTGTGAGCTACAAGCGACCAAACACAGGGCTCCGCGGGCTACTGCTCCACCACGATAATGCGCCCGCCCACACCGCAATCAAAACAAGGGATTTCCTAGACAGAACACCGATCAAACTCCTGGGTCACTCTCCTTACAGCCCTGACCTAACACCGTGTAACTTCTTATTCCCAAAAATAAAAAATCAGCTCAAAGGGATACAATTTTTGTCGCCGGATGATGCGCTCTCAGTGTTCGAGGAAGCCGTAAACAAGGTCTCTGCAGCGGACTGGAAAAAGTGTTTCGAAACCTGGTTCAGACGCATGAAACTTTGTATAGAGGCTGGTGGAGAGTACTTCGAAAAGATGTAATAAAAATATATTTACCTATAGAACCTTTTTTTAATGTCCCAAAACTTTCTGAGTGTCCCACGTCTGATAAAGTAATAGACCATTTGGGAAATACAGTATATGACAGTGCATATGCATATTTCTACATGTAGATGGACGACGGCTGCGCCGGCCCTATGAGCATGTGTGCGTGGCGCAGCAGCAGCAGCAGGCAGCGCGCGTGCGAGCGCGCCAGCAGCGCCACCAGCTGCGCCGGCCCCGCGACCACGTGTACGTACCTAGCAGCTGGCGGCAGGTGCGGTCGCTGTGTGCGTGGCGCAGCAGCAGCAGCAGGCAGCGCGCGTGCGAGCGCGCCAGCAGCGCCACCAGCTGCGCCGGCCCCGCGACCACGTGTACGTACCTAGCAGCTGGCGGCAGGTGCGGTCGCTGTGTGCGTGGCGCAGCAGCAGCAGCAGGCAGCGCGCGTGCGAGCGCGCCAGCAGCGCCACCAGCTGCGCCGGCCCCGCGACCACGTGTACGTACCTAGCAGCTGGCGGCAGGTGCGGTCGCTGTGTGCGTGGCGCAGCAGCAGCAGCAGGCAGCGCGCGTGCGAGCGCGCCAGCAGCGCCACCAGCTGCGCCGGCCCCGCGACCACGTGTACGTACCTAGCAGCTGGCGGCAGGTGCGGTCGCTGTGTGCGTGGCGCAGCAGCAGCAGCAGGCAGCGCGCGTGCGAGCGCGCCAGCAGCGCCACCAGCTGCGCCGGCCCCGCGACCACGTGTACGTACCTAGCAGCTGGCGGCAGGTGCGGTCGCTGTGTGCGTGGCGCAGCAGCAGCAGCAGGCAGCGCGCGTGCGAGCGCGCCAGCAGCGCCACCAGCTGCGCCGGCCCCGCGACCACGTGTACGTACCTAGCAGCTGGCGGCAGGTGCGGTCGCTGTGTGCGTGGCGCAGCAGCAGCAGCAGGCAGCGCGCGTGCGAGCGCGCCAGCAGCGCCACCAGCTGCGCCGGCCCCGCGACCACGTGTACGTACCTAGCAGCTGGCGGCAGGTGCGGTCGCTGTGTGCGTGGCGCAGCAGCAGCAGCAGGCAGCGCGCGTGCGAGCGCGCCAGCAGCGCCACCAGCTGCGCCGGCCCCGCGACCACGTGTACGTACCTAGCAGCTGGCGGCAGGTGCGGTCGCTGTGTGCGTGGCGCAGCAGCAGCAGCAGGCAGCGCGCGTGCGAGCGCGCCAGCAGCGCCACCAGCTGCGCCGGCCCCGCGACCACGTGTACGTACCTAGCAGCTGGCGGCAGGTGCGGTCGCTGTGTGCGTGGCGCAGCAGCAGCAGCAGGCAGCGCGCGTGCGAGCGCGCCAGCAGCGCCACCAGCTGCGCCGGCCCCGCGACCACGTGTACGTACCTAGCAGCTGGCGGCAGGTGCGGTCGCTGTGTGCGTGGCGCAGCAGCAGCAGCAGGCAGCGCGCGCGCGAGCGCGCCAGCAGCGCCACCAGCTGCGCCGGCCCCGCGACCACGTGTACGTACCTAGCAGCTGGCGGCAGGTGCGGTCGCTGTGTGCGTGGCGCAGCAGCAGCAGCAGGCAGCGCGCGTGCGAGCGCGCCAGCAGCGCCACCAGCTGCGCCGGCCCCGCGACCACGTGTACGTACCTAGCAGCTGGCGGCAGGTGCGGTCGCTGTGTGCGTGGCGCAGCAGCAGCAGCAGGCAGCGCGCGTGCGAGCGCGCCAGCAGCGCCACCAGCTGCGCCGGCCCCGCGACCACGTGTACGTACCTAGCAGCTGGCGGCAGGTGCGGTCGCTGTGTGCGTGGCGCAGCAGCAGCAGCAGGCAGCGCGCGTGCGAGCGCGCCAGCAGCGCCACCAGCTGCGCCGGCCCCGCGACCACGTGTACGTACCTAGCAGCTGGCGGCAGGTGCGGTCGCTGTGTGCGTGGCGCAGCAGCAGCAGCAGGCAGCGCGCGTGCGAGCGCGCCAGCAGCGCCACCAGCTGCGCCGGCCCCGCGACCACGTGTACGTACCTAGCAGCTGGCGGCAGGTGCGGTCGCTGTGTGCGTGGCGCAGCAGCAGCAGCAGGCAGCGCGCGTGCGAGCGCGCCAGCAGCGCCACCAGCTGCGCCGGCCCCGCGACCACGTGTACGTACCTAGCAGCTGGCGGCAGGTGCGGTCGCTGTGTGCGTGGCGCAGCAGCAGCAGCAGGCAGCGCGCGTGCGAGCGCGCCAGCAGCGCCACCAGCTGCAGCCGGCCGCCGCGACCACGTGTACGTACCTAGCAGCTGGCGGCAGGTGCGGTCGCTGTGTGCGTGGCGCAGCAGCAGCAGCAGGCAGCGCGCGTGCGAGCGCGCCAGCAGCGCCACCAGCTGCGCCGGCCCCGCGACCACGTGTACGTACCTAGCAGCTGGCGGCAGGTGCGGTCGCTGTGTGCGTGGCGCAGCAGCAGCAGCAGGCAGCGCGCGTGCGAGCGCGCCAGCAGCGCCACCAGCTGCGCCGGCCCCGCGACCACGTGTACGTACCTAGCAGCTGGCGGCAGGTGCGGTCGCTGTGTGCGTGGCGCAGCAGCAGCAGCAGGCAGCGCGCGTGCGAGCGCGCCAGCAGCGCCACCAGCTGCGCCGGCCCCGCGACCACGTGCCCCAGCTGGCGGCTCGGTCCTGTGTGGCGCAGCAGCAGCAGCGCGCGCGCGTGCGAGCGCGCCAGCAGCGCCACCAGCTGCGCCGGCCCCACGCCCTCCCAGGCGCCGCCCGCGCCGCGCGACGCCGCACAGATCGCACGCACGCGCTCCACCACCTCGTCCGTCACTACCCAACCACATGTTTTTATACTATTTTTAAAGTAGCAAACGAACTTGAGTCACGAAAATCAAAATACCTATGTTAAATATGCAATAAATTTAGATCACCAATTTCAATGTAAGGGGGATGAGTCTCACATTTCGTATTGAAAAATACTAACATGTTTCCTCAATGTCCTGCGTGAGTGCTTTTAACACGACATCAGATCTCGATGCGAGGTTCAGCAAGTAAGGTATCACCTCGCGCTTTTTTTCCGACCTACTGTCCTCCTCAATTCCTTCCTGAGAATTAAAATATCAAAAACAGAAATAAGGATAAGAGAGTTAAAGTATAAACAATATATTGTCAAATTAAAAATATGATTTACAGTAATTTGCGCAGCTTATAAGTTGTCAGAACATAGCGAAATTACTTCCATTTTTTATTCTTTTGATCGAATTGTAAATTAGCTACATCCCGCGAATTCGCTCACATAAATTAGTACATTAAGCATCCAAGGTGCTAAATTATGATATATAATATCCATATATCAAATATTATTCAAATTCATTCAGTTGTTACTGTACAAAAGAGGAACAAACATCCTCAAAAACTTTTGGCATTTAGAATAATACTTATAATAGATTATTATTAAGGCAACAATACGTTACATGGAAGAGCTGCAGCAGCGCGGCGCGGATGTGCGGTCGCGCGGGCGCGTGTCCGGCGAGGTGCGCGAGCACGGCGCGCGCCGCGTCCGCGCCCAGCGCCAGCGCGCGCGGCGCCACCAGCGCCGGCTCCGCGCGGCCCACCCACCCCACCGCCCACGAGCACGCCCACGACCCTGCGCCCACCACAACCGTTAGTGCACTGCACGGCGCGCGGCGCCACCAGCGCCACCAGCGCCGGCTCCGCGCGGCCCACCCACCCCACCGCCCACGAGCACGCCCACGACCCTGCGCCCACCACAACCGTTAGTGCACTGCACGGCGCGCGGCGCCACCAGCGCCACCAGCGCCGGCTCCGCGCGGCCCACCCACCCCACCGCCCACGAGCACGCCCACGACCCTGCGCCCACCACAACCGTTAGTGCACTGCACGGCGCGCGGCGCCACCAGCGCCACCAGCGCCGGCTCCGCGCGGCCCACCCACCCCACCGCCCACGAGCACGCCCACGACCCTGCGCCCACCACAACCGTTAGTGCACTGCACGGCGCGCGGCGCCACCAGCGCCACCAGCGCCGGCTCCGCGCGGCCCACCCACCCCACCGCCCACGAGCACGCCCACGACCCTGCGCCCACCACAACCGTTAGTGCACTGCACGGCGCGCGGCGCCACCAGCGCCACCAGCGCCGGCTCCGCGCGGCCCACCCACCCCACCGCCCACGAGCACGCCCACGACCCTGCGCCCACCACAACCGTTAGTGCACTGCACCGCGCGCCACCACCCCACCGCCGTAATGGAGTCTAAAACTCCATTGTTAGCAATACACCCTCAGTCAAATCGACATCCACATGATCCATCCTGGAAGCCTTTGTGGTTTACTTTAGTGACCCTACCTGCATTAACGGTATGCGCTGGCAGGGCATCAGTGAGGGATAATAGGTAAGGATGAAAAGGTCAGTTAGCCCATTATGATGAATATACCTGGAATTCAGCACATATGGTTTCCAAGGCAAACCATGTGGAAATTAACATGACAAAGTATATTTGCCAGCAACGGAACTGGTAGTCTTCATTTTTAACAATCCCTTCCCCCCATCCCCCTCTCAACCATCATGGTTATGATGGGCCAACTGACTTATTTCCATCTTCACCTATGATCCCTCACTGATGCTCCACCAGTATATGCCGATAATGCATGCAGGATAATCATTCCATTTTCACAGTAGTTTCTAAGGGGAATCATGTGGAGATCAACCTTTTACCAGCAATGGGCCCACTCCCATTACTAACAATCTTTAACATTTCATGAAATAACTGTTACAACTTTGTGTTGATAACATGACATTTTCACTTACAGTTGTGCAAATTTTTTGTTTTGTTTATAATTTAGAATAACACAAAACAAGATAGGTCATGTTTGTATCTTTAGTGTAATATTAAGGTAATTTTCTAACAACACATTTTTTAATTAATGAATTAAAAACATTAAAAATTGTTCAATTGCTTCTGAAAGTTAACAAATAATTGTGACATTGCAAAACTTTGGTAAACTAAAATATGAATACTCTTAAACCTATGCACTTCTGGTCAAGTCAATGCGCACGTAGAATTAACAAAATATCTACATATGTAATATTAATTGTCCAATACACATATCACTTACCCAACATCATATCAATGCATTTTGCTCTTTCTTCTGGATTCAGTAAAGTCAAATTTTGTGTAGTGACATCCAACAGAACTCTAACAGGATCTGTACTTTGAAGTGTAGTATCTAAAAATATGAATAAAAATAAAGTAGCAAATTTATTTATCTCCAAAAAGTACAATAAAATCGAAAACTTATAAACTTTATTAAGAGAAAATAATAATGTTATAAAGCAAAAAAAAAAATGGAAAAAATATAATGTTTTTCTTCATCATTAATAAATACAAATTTTATAAAACAAATTATAACTTACTTGGTACATTTGACTTCTTAGTGGCTATATCCATAATCAAATTAATACACCATGGGGCTATAAATGGTGCCCATGACTGGCCAAGACCACCTAGCTCAGCTCCAATCATATTTACACACTCCAATGAGCTGTGTGTACTAACATCAGCCTACAAGATATTAAATAATTCAAACAAGAATATTCAATATTACTTACAAGCTAAGCTGCAAAATATGCAACTTTTTCCATAAATCAATTAATGTAAATGTAAATTGGACTCTTTTTTTACACTAAACCTCTCATATAGGCCTTGTACATATATGTTCAGACCATGAATCAGTTAACTAAGTATTAAGTGTGTTAAAGTAGTATACAATATAATTTAAATCCCTTCAGCCCTATGAGTGTGACCGAGTAACAAATATGCAAACATATTACATTACAAACTTTCACATTTATAATATTACATGACTCTCTATAGGCCATTTCTCATAGAATTTGTTAAGATGGGCCAACTGACCTGCTTTCATTCTCCCCTACTATGCCTCATTTACATATACTGATAGCACATGCAGAATTACCATCCCATTTTGACCAATTAAAAAAAAGTTGTATCCTGTGGCTTCACCTGCATTAACCAGTAGATATTTAAATTATTTAAACTCAATTTATACTGTAAATTCCATATACAGAGATTGTAACTAAAGAATTTTAGAAAGAACAGAAAAGGACATTTTATACCTGTTTGTATGAAAATCTATCAATCTTTAGCATATAAATATATCTAATATAGATTTTACTAAATTACTATATGCTTAGTTAGACTTCATTAGGTTTTTTAATGTATAAAAATGGAATGGTGACCCCTCCTGCGGCATCGGAATACACTGGTGGGGCACCAATGAGAGATAAGTGAGAATGAAAGCAACTCAGTTAGCCTATCATGACAAATGCATCAAGAACAAATCACGATGATTTCCAGGTGGAACCGCGAGGTCGACCTGACAGGCTATATCGTTAGCCGCTAGTCTACACGGTTAACAATTCCTTTCTCCGCCCTGGCTTTTATTAGGTTATCTTACCGCATATTCAATCTGGTTGATTGAAGCATTCACTGCATCATGAAACACCATTGCAAAGTACTCTAGAACAGCATCCCTAGCTGCAGGGAAGTTTTTCAACAATGTTAAACCGATTTTCGTTAGTTCCGGCGCATTTTGAGGGCTCCTTTTGGCAACACCATATATAAAATTATTAAGATCGGCAGATAATGCCGTCGATTTGTTTGGAGGATTCATATCACTGAATTCTTATTCAAATAAAGATTAGTATACTTTTTTTTTAGAAACAGATGACTATTTAAAGTGATATCACAATAGATAAAATTTAATAAAGTTTATTATTAATTTATTAAATGGAATGAAAATAATGTAAATTAGTGACGGTATTGTCAAGTTGTCAATTTATAAACTGTCATCTGTCATGAGAATGCCAGATTAGTTTTCTTTGTAATTGTCAGAAAAAAATATGTATTTAAATAAAATTATTAAAAAAAATAATACGATTATGGAGAAATTTAGATAATTCTTTTTCAGAGTTACAGCATTTACAAACTATAACATAAAAAGGTGGCAGTTATAGGTAATAATGAAAACGTGTGCGCGTTTCTACTATTACCTACTGTACAGGTTTGTACAAGGTAAAAGAAGTTACATCATTTTAAAGAAAAATATTTGTAATATTAGTAGTAATAAACAATCGCGTTTGCATTGAGGCAGGTACTGTCCTTAATTTATGGTCAAATCATTTCGACAACAAATTTCAACACAAATGAAACTAACAACTGAAGTCCTTTCTAGAATAAAATATATTTTTTATTGTTTTTGATTATGAGTTAATTTAAGTCGCCCACTATTTATAAATATTCTAGGAACCCTCTTTAAAAATATATATATTAACATTAACTTTTATATCAACTACCTATTTGTTTACCATATTTAAGAAGGAGAATGGTCTCGATTTGACAACATAATTTTTTTATATATAGGTTCTTCGCGTATTTTTTTCTGTTGTGAACCGATTTATCGATGATGCTTTTTTATCAAGAAGTTGTGGTCGTCTCTCGTTTTAATTTCATATTTGGTCTCTAGACTAGACTTTAAAGAGATTATCTCCAAATGATGTTATTTACCATATACCAAATAGAAATATGTCAACCTTAACCTACTTGACTCCTTTTAGCATTTTTTGACGGCAATGAGATTACATTCACTACAGCTGATATCCTATACTTATCTACAATCTTCCTTCTAATGTGTAGGTCTGAGTAGTACATTCGTTCCAAATGAAACCTGGTCACTTCCAGACTTCCTATTAATGAAATTAACTTTACCGAAAAACCCCTTACCATTTACATACTTCTTCATTATTATCATGGTATCAGCTATTAACTGCCCCCTATTACTACTGAACATAGGTCTCCTCCTTGGAGGGGTTTTCCAGTAATTGCCACGCTTGGTAGGTGAATTGGAAGCCGCAGTTAGGATTTGATGATTTTTAAGAGGGAAATTCTTTGAGCATTAAATTTTCTCGCCGCCTCTTACGACACCCACGGGAAAGGAAAGATTACCCCTTCTATGCCGACACTTTACGGTAACTTTTTGCTTGATATTAGGTATGGGTACTACCCAGTGGAAATACTATGACTGCGATTAGACTCTATTATCAGAGTTGTGTCAAATTTATATGTATGTATATGCAAGTGGAGTGAGGGAGACTTTGTACAAAAGTCGATTGCTTGGGTACCTCTGTCCCATTCGTGTTTCAACCGTAAAGTAGTTGTGTTTGCATGGCTGTGTTTCGGTTTGAAGGGAAAGATATGGCGTGAATTTACTGGGTACAGAGGAATAACATCTGAGTCCTCAGGAATGGCAACGCATGGGGAGTATCATGAGCGAAACAGTATACTCTGTTATGTCCATGGTGCTGCTCATGTCTATAGGCGACGGTTACCATTTTCCATCAGGTGGACCGTCAGCTCGTTTGCCATTCTAAGTTGTATAAAAAATTAAAAAGTGGATCTACAAAATAACTGTCCCCGTAACTGGTACAAAACTAACAAATATAGCTTATATAGTAGTATATCGGTGCAATAATTAAAGGAAAGCATCAAAGCGTGGTGTTGTAGAAAAATCAATAAAAACTGCGCACGCGATTGGCTATGCGCGAGCTCCCTCGTATATAGACGAGGCGGTATATAGACAAAGTCCAGTGGGTGTTTATTTTGTTAAAGTACTTACACACCATGCATTAGTAAATGCATGTACAGCAATATAATATGTAGATATATTTACTGATATTATAAAAAGGAAAGAAATTATTACTTGTTTGTTTGTTTTTAATGGATAAATTCAAAAATAACTCAAACGACTTTAATAATTCTTTCACCTATAGAAAACTACATTGTCATCGTGAATGAATGAATGAATTTTATTGCTAAAAATGTAGTACAATAAGGTCATATGGTAATATTACAATGGTATCACACATTTTGTCATTACTGACGTGCAACAGTCATTACAAAAGTTATGATAAAATAATTCGTGTAGGTTATAGGTTTTTTTTTTAATGGGTGAAATTAACTAAAATAATTAAATAGTACGTAACAATTTGTTTATGATATATTTCAATCAAAAATATTAACAGTAAAAAATATATTCATTATTTTAATTTCTAATTGGGTTGTAGAAGCATTTGTCGACATTTCACCGGGCATAATTTATTAGAAAGCGACTTAGCAGGGGTGAGCTTACCGGTACTCTAATTTGGTGTGTTCTGGGTGTTTTCCATCATCGGAAATTCAAATCGACAAACTAAATTCTTATGTTGGCCAGATTCGAACTCACGACCTTTAATGTCTACAAAGCGGGTTAGTATATCACTGGACAATGACGCGAAGGCCTCGTCTAGTATTATATTATCTGTGGTAAAACATTTTTTTTTATTTCACTATTAGTTATAGGTTAATTAATTCTATATACAATAGAAAGTGTAAACTTTAGAAAGGGTAAAGATGATTATTCAGTTATAGTTAAATGATATAAATATACGACCTTTTTAAGGACGAACGTATACTAGATATACCTTTTATTTATTTTTTCTTTTTTTTTTATACGACTTAGAATGGCAAACAAGCTGACGGCCCACCTAATGGAAAGTGGTAACCGTCGCCTATAGACACGAGCAGTACCATGGACATAACAGAGCCCATGATACCCCCCATGCGTTGCCATTCCTGAGGACTCAGGTGTTATTCCTCTGTATTCAGTAAATTCATGCCATATCCCACCCTTCAAACCGAAAGACAGCCATGCAAACACAACTGTTTCACGGTAGAAACACGAATGGGACTGAGGTACCCAAGGAATCGACTTTTGTACAAAGTCTCCCTATGGTTTTAATTCAAAGCCATGGAATATTAAGAAACTAATAAAGCGTACATATTATCGCATTCTCTACTAATTAACTATATAATATATAAACAATTTAATTTATAATTAAATAAGTGTACAGTAAATATGTATACTTAGAGAAATACTATGAGTAATTCAATATTGTATTATTTATTTGTGATAGTAAGTACGCGTATATATACGCATATAATATTGATAAACACCCAGTAAGTAGGAATGTAAACGCTTCGCAAACTAGCGATTCTTGGAACCTGCGCAAAAGGAAGACAATCCTCAGCGTACTATTTTGTCTGTCAAAATCTGTAAATTTCAATAACACTGGATATATTATACTTATGTAGAATTTAATTATAATAATAGCACATAATTATCATAATAATATCTCTTTTCACAAATTAAACAATTTATTTTATAATTATTAATTAATTTATACTTTATTATACATACTAATAATATCTAAAAAATATGACAGACGTAAGCAAATGTATGAAGGCGAGCTTAACATATGAAGAATTGTCTTCCATAAATGGAACGGTATACAATACTGTGACAATTTACAAACAAAAAGAACTAGGCAAACTTAAGTTTATGCATAACCAATTATATCATATTTTATTTACGTACTAACGAAAGTCAATAATTTCGAATTTGAACCGAATAAGTTTATTCTTGGATTAAAAAAAATGTCCAGAATATATCGAAAAAAAAAACACACTGCATGCGACGATAATTACAATAAACAATGGCTACGGAACCCTATTAAAGGGCGTCATGCCCTTTTGGTTTTCTTATTTCGTTGTCTAACGTAATATGACCATTTTTTAGATTCTTTATTTGCCATGAATAATACTTTATAAATCAAGTAGATCAGGTTGATTCTCGAGTAGCGACACCAATATAAGTAAATACAGTGTAGGATAATACTCTCCCTAGATGGAGCCATGATCTCGTAGATTGACAGTAGAATAATAAATAATGAATAGTTGAAATATAAAAAAAATTGATTTTTTTTTATAACAAACAAATTATTTACTCTTTATAGATTACTTTTATAAGAAGGAGATTGTACAAAAATCATCTGTTTGGGTACTTCTGTCCCACTCGTGTTTCTGTTGCTAAGTAACTGTGAGTAGGTACATATACATATACAGGTTGTGTTTCGGTTTGGTAGATATGGTAATGACAGAAGTACAGAATAATAATGTCGTAGTTATAAGGAACAGTACACGCATATGGGGGGGGGGGGAGAAGGGATTGTTAGTAATGGGGAAGTTAGTCCCCATCGCTATCAATATACCTTATCAGGTCGACCTCCACGCGGTTCACCCTGGAAACCATCGTAACTAATTTATCATTGAATTCGTCATGATGTGCTAACTGACCTGTCTTTCATCCTCACCAATCATCCCTCACTGGTACCTCGCTAGTGTATACCAATAGCGCAGGCGGGGTTACCATTTCATTATCATGCACCATGGGTATCAACTGTGTATTATACGATGGGCATAAATGTAGGTGAAGCTACGATTACAACCTTTTAGCATATAGACTGTTTGTTTATTTGTCATCCTATATTGCATAAAAAACTCATTATTCGATTTTTCATAAATTTCTTTTCATATAAAATGATTTCACCATTTTACAGGTTTACTCTTTGTGATGTTTTTATTTTAATATATAAGGCTATTTGAAAATGCCAATGCTAATGGTTTACATCGCGTTTTCTCCTTGTATTTCGCGTGTAAAGAATTGTATTTTAACGCATATAAAGTTTGAGCGCATTTTATTAGAGACACTGTGTGTAATAGTTAAATAGATATGTATGTAGATTTATCATACTTATATAATAATATATCACGAGAATTTGGGGGAAAGGGATTGTTAGTAATGGAGACTAAAAATCCCATTGCTAGCAATACACCCAACCAGGTCGACTACCTCGTGGTTCCCCCTGGAAACTATCATGGTTAATTCCTGATGAATTCATCATGATGGGCTAACTGGCCTGTTTTCATTCTCATCGATCACCCTTCACTGGTGCTCCTCCAACGTATCCCGTAAGCGCAGACGGGGTTACCATTCCATTTTCATCCACCAAAAAAATATAAATATATCACGAGAAATATATATAAATATAGTTTGTATAAGTTTATTATTACGTGTTATTAAATGCCTTTAGGCTATCTATTATATTATATTTTATTATTACTGTATATATATTATTAAAGTTGGCGCGTTTCGAGCGGCCATAAGTTCGAATCTGGTCGACACAAGTGACTAAGTATTATCATAAATTTGTTATTATCTGTCCGACGATTGAAAACACCATCGCTCAATTACAAATAAATAGGGGACTACCTAACTCATTTGGAATTAGAGTCATGATTATATTTTTTATTGATTATTTACAAAAATTAAACTAGCACCATAAAGTAATAAACAGTAGTGTTACTATTTATAGGTAGGTGTATGTTTTAACAATTGATCAATAGCTTGTATGGGCGAGTAGGTGCGTTGATGAAAAGCAAGCGGCGAGGGTTAGACGGTTTGCGCGTGAACAGGGTGGCGCTGCGGCAGGGCGGGCGCCGCTGGCGGCTACGGCGTGCGCCCGGCGCCCCTCGCGGCGCAACACGACGCAGGCGCGCTCCGCACACCGACGCTCTCCAGCGTGGATCGATGAGATAAACGCGCAACCCCGCTTTTCGAGTTAAATCAATACGAATTCTATCGATTTTTGCAGCCGCAGCCGCCGCACAACAAACTCGAGGGTCGCACGCGGTGGTTGCGGCGCATTATTTCAACACAGTTCAAATGTAGCGTACATTATATTTTTGTGGAATTTTGTGTCGTATTTAATATATAAAACTTAGTAATATAAATGTTTGTTATCGATTTCGTTATTGATCGACGTTTAAAGGTAATGTTTTATTTTTTTAATTTTAAATAATATTTAATTATAGATACCTAACTATTATTTCAAATAGATTAGTCATTCATTACGTACTTATTTTATATTTTTATATTTATTCATTTTTTATTATTTAATTAAGTAAGAGTTTGAAATAAAACATACGTATTAAGTTACTATTATTAACTACGTAAATTATAGATTATTGAAAATATTAAAAGCGACGATTGATAAACTTTGCTTCCGGCTAATTCAAAATTGGAATTTCGCCGCCTTTTACTTGGTTGGCTTGCAATGACCTGCGTACGTTCTTGTTTGTTTTGTTTTTAGTACCACGTTACTGTAACTCACTCGTTTCTCACTTTTGTATTACTTTAACTTCATATAAACTCTATTTCAAATATGACGGCATGAGTAAATAACAAAGTGATTCATAGTTAAATATTAGTTATTCTTATTAATAAAGAGTAAGTAACCGAATTTTTGTTCTAAAGTTTCTTACGTAACTACGTTCCTAATATAAGTACCTACAGATACCTATTTTTGCGCGTCGCATTAGTTACTAAAAATCGCTTTTTAGTGATGTGTCACGTCATCATTTGAAATAGTGATTGAACATTATTGATGAAATAAATAACCATATTAATCAATAAATACTTAAAATTAAAATAACTTTGACTCTCGATGCCGGACTTATATTAGGGTTCAACTGCATTTAAATTTGAAGTTTAATTTGTTCGTGTTATGAAATATGATAAAATTGTGGTATAATTTAAAAGATTTAATAGTGATAGCCTAATATTTTCAAAGGATTAGTTCATTTTCGTGATTGCTTCATTTTCCAACTGATTGTTTTTCTTATTAGGAGTATTTTTTTTTTATAGATGTATTAATAACACCTGAGTCCGCAGGAATGGCAATGCATGGGGGTATCATGGACGAAACAGTATACTTTGTTATGTCCATGGTACTGCTCATGTCTACAGGCGACGGTTACCACTTTCCATCAGGTGGACCGTCAGCTTGTTTGTTATTTAAAGTTGCATAAAAAAATTCTTGAAACCTCCGGTATGGTACCGTTGTTTAATATTGTTTTGTAATACGTACGCGACACTCTTAGTGTTGCAAGTGTCCCTAGGCTACTATAACTGTTTATCATCAAGCGGGCTGTATATTTATTTGCCATCTTTTTTAATCTAAAAGAAGTTTTTTTAATGAATGATAATGGAATAGTAGTTCCATTTATACTTTTGGTAAACGCTTGCGGGGTACAAGAGACGAATAATAAGTAAATACGAAAGTTAGTTAGTTGGCCCATTGTGATAAATTGGACTCACGTACAAATAAGTTTGCAAACTTTTACGTTACCTGTACCATAACATTGTGTAATGGCTTTTCCCGTGATTAGTTTCCTTCATTCTGTAACCTCGGACCTTTGAAACTTTATCATATCAACCTTTAATTGTCCACTATTGAACATAAACCTCCCCCTTGGGGGCTTTTGTCAATTGTTACCACGCTTGGCAGGCGGATTGGCAAACGCAGATAGGCGATTTATAAATGTTTTAAGAAGAACGCTGTTTTTCGTCCTCTCTTAGTCGTTTTTTACGACATCCATGTGAAAGAAAGGGTTGATCTATTCTATGCCGGAACCACACGGCCAACTTTTCAAACATAGTGTAAAAAAACTTAAGGAGTCGGTATATTGTGGTGAACCATAACACTGAGAGTACAATATTTTCTTTTTGATGGATCACATTCTTGGACTATATTGTCCTTATGTTCGCTCAGGATGATATGATTACATGTCGTGTAATAAAAAAATTATCTAAAACTAATCACGATAGTTGCTGGCGGAACCGTGTTGCGATCGGCGAAACAGAGTACTTATATTATTAGCAATAGGGCCATTAATCCCCATTAATAAAAAAGTTTTTCATAGTTAAGAATACAATAAATGGTAAAAAAATCTTCTTTTGATATGATTACGAATTTCTTTTCAATATTATTTATATATTTTAATATAATTTCAGCAAAATAGTACACATGAAAAAAATACATTTATTACGTATTTACGTTGTATCCATTAACCCTAACCTCCTTAACTTTTCATGAGCTTTTCACCACCGATGATGTATATAGTTATCCCTTCAATAATGGATCGTGGCAACACTATTTTTAGACATATTTTTTAACAATTTTCTAATTTTAAAATTCATTTCCGCTTCCTTTTTCTACCGGCTTCATTTTGTTTTGTAAACAAATTTTTAGGTTAGCTTTTAAAAATATTATCTATTGTATTATTTTGTGTCACAGAGGACATAAGGGAGAGAGATGATACAAAGAAAATGACGTCGACGGACACGTACCAGTTAAAATGGCATTCACACAGCTCACATTTGAACGGCTCCGTGGCGGCGTTGCTGCGATCGGAGCGGTTCACAGATGTGGTGCTGTGTACCATGGACGGGTCACAGATACCGGCACACAAATTTATCCTGAGCTCGTGCAGCGTGTATTTGAGCGGTCTGTTCGAGGGTCAACGGTCTGTGACGCGCATGGGTGGAATGCTGTATGTGGTGCTACCTTCGGAGATCTCGACGAAGGCGTTGAAGATTCTTGTGGAGTATATGTATAAAGGTCAGTGGGAATTTCAAATTTTTAATATAAATAAAATATGTTTTCATCCGTTATAACCGAGTTATAAGGTAACAAACATTAATAAAACATTTTTTTTGTTTTGTTTGTTACCTCATAACTTCGTCAGTTGTAAAACTATTTTAAACACTTTTTTTCATCTAAAAAAGTATACTTGCAGATTGGTCTCATAGAAATATTATCAAAATCAATTCAGCAGTTTAGTTTTTAATTCAAAATGCTAGTTTTGCTACAATTGAAGTTTGTTTTATAATGGAACACAATTTGATTATTGTATGAACTAAACAAAATCTTAATAAATAAATAATAAAACTGAAGATTTATACACTAATGCTAATCAAATTGTAGAGGTAACAAATATATATACTTTTGTATTTATAATATTAATAGACTTCATGACAAAATTTATGAAATATTGAATTGTTTCATTTAATTTCAACAGATACTTAACTAAATTTAAAATGCATATGTCAATGTTGATATTTTTTTAAATAACAAGTTTGTAATATACAAATTTGGTCTACTACATACAAGTATGCATAATATATATTAAGGTGGTGATTTTTACACTATTATGTGTTTCACAAAATAAATTTTAAAATTAAATTCTTCAGGTGAAACTACAGTTTCAAATGAAGTACTAGACACAGTATTAAAAGCAGGCGAAGTACTCAAGATACGAGGGTTATGGAGGCAAGCAGACGAGGCTGGAGGGGACTCCACTGCTGCAGAGAAGACAACTGCACCAATGGCCACGGCGAGTGTGAACAAACAAGTTCTGGCCAAGAAACCAGATGATATGCAACCAAAGATTGCTGTAAAGAAGGACGACAAGCTGCTGAAAACCTTTGGGCAGGTCCAACAACAGGGTGTCACAAGGTAAATAATTATTTCAACATATTTAGATGTTAATTATATTCTTTAACTATAACTTTATATGTAAAAATTTTGTTTCATATAGTTTAGTGTAATTAACTCTTAAACTATTGAACCATTTTTATTGAAGTTTTGTATATTGTACCTAATTTTGTTCAACTTTAGAGACAGGATAGTTTTTATATCAATTTATACTTTTAACATTTTTTTTTTGTTGTGAATTGTTTATTTTATATGTAAGTCCCATAAGTTTCTAACAGATGGCAGTGTAAGTAATTTATCAACAATGCTTCAACTTTTTTGTGTCTAAAATAGAGAAGAAGAATCCAAAAGATGGCGCTATATTGAGTCTCCAAACGTTTATGATACAAATTTAATAAAACTTTGAACATTGCATATAGTTTAACTCAAATTGAGAGATAAGATAGTTGGCATCTCAATTTGTAGTCACAATGTGTTTTTATTGCAAATTATTTATTTATTTTATCTCTGATTTCCACAAATGGAAGGTGGTGGATTACTAAATAAAACTAGCCTAGAAATACTAGATAGCGCTGGAATCGAGACTTGTAATTTTTGTTATTTTGTAATAAAAGATAATTTAAAATTTTTAAATTAGCAAGTATCAGGAATCACTCTGTTGATAAATGGAAACCATATGAAAATTCATTCAGTAGGTTTTGAGATCATTGCGAACATACAGACAGATGGACTTATGGCTATATATTGATTTTAACTAGAGTACATAGGCATAAGATAACAATTATTTTAAAAAATTTTGTCTGTATATTTGTTCCGTAATCATGCACTGTACTATACAGAATGTGATTTTCACAGTTGTGTGTATTTATTTATACTTTTACACACATTGGAAAATGTCTACAGGGCAGACTTAATGCCTGATGGCATTCTCTACCAGTCAACCGCCACGCCTAACAGAGAGAGAACAAATGGCAGAGCACAGATTTAAAAAAATTAAAAAAAAAAATTAATTAAAAAAATGTGTTCCTAAAGGTCTAACTTAAAATCTGATGTATGTTTTGATACACAGTATTTTTCATTGGTTTTCCTACATCTAAAATCCACACGTACAAAATGGCAGACAAAAAACTAGTCATTATTATCATATTAGCTATTAACTTTTCACTGCTGAACATAGGCCCCTCATAAAGGAGGTTTTACCTATAGTTGTCACATTTGGCAAACAGGTTGGCAACCGCAGTTAGGCTATTGTTTTAAGAGGGATGTTGTTGCCCATCCCTCGACCAATGTCAGTCTCTTACAACACCTATGTGAAAGAAAGGGGTGGCCCATTCTTTACCAGGACCAGACGGCATATAACTAGTATTAAAATAATAATATTTTGTCTAACAGACCTATGTTCATCGGGCCGCCCAAGTTAGTTTTTATCAAAACCACAGAAGGTGGTACTCAGGCCGCCCTCAGACCTGGTGCACCGAAAGGCCAAACAATATTGGTTGCTCCGGCGCAAACGTCAGACTCAACCGCAATAGCAACCACTGTGGCCGCGCCAGCACCAGTGTCGACTGTGGCAATAGCTACAATTGCTGATGATTCACCGGACGAGGCACCTCCACCCAGAATACTGAGGCGGCACGCTGCCGAAAGAAAGTATGGGAAGAAACAAAGGACAGAAGTGAATACTGACCCAGAGGAAACAAAAGAAGATGACAATCAGGACAACGCCTCTGTGACATCCAGTGAGTATTGGTCAAACTAAAATCTTCAAAAATTCTAAATATTTTTAATGTTCAATAAGATTTTTAAAATTCATGTTCTATATATATATATATATATATATATATATATTTTATTATTAATTCAACCGTTAACTGTCCACTGCTGAACGTAAGCCTTCCTCATAAGGGAAGTTTTGCCAGTAGTTGCCATGCTTAGCAAGCGGGTTGGCAACCGCAATTAGTCTTTTAGAAATGTTTTAAGAGGGACGCTGCAGTCCATCTCTCGCCCTCCCTTAGTCGTCCCTTACGACACACACTGGAAAGGAAGGGGTGGCCCATTCTATCCCGGGATATACGGCAATGTCTATATACATATGGGAAATTAATGAACTCACTGTGTTTTTGTCAATTCTGACAAATGTTTCGTCTTCTTCAGGGGGCATTTAGCGCTCTGCATCACAGCATCTCGCCTCACACTGAAGAAGCATATAGACATGTTCAATATGACTTTAAATGTAATTTAATTATTGAAATTAAGTACTTTATATATACATATAGAACCTATAAATATTTTTGAATCATAACAATTGTTAAGTGGCTTTATAACGTGATATCTCTTTCTTGGCTTTAGGTAGATACTCTTTATTGTTTCCTCCAAAACATTACAATACTAAACTTATTATAGATATAAACAATTACCACAGTAATATCACTTGTCAAATGTTTCAATTTCTTAAATATAAGATCAACATATCTGCGAAGAACCTACACCATAGTTTAACCCCTTTTTAAGTTCATGTTCAAAATAGATAAAAACAAATTCCAGAAAAATCGACTCAAAGTAATGTGGAGACAACAGAGGTGCAAGTCAAAGATGAACCGGAATGGGATGCTAGCAGTATTGAGGAGGAGGAGAGATCCATCGCTGAGATGTTCCAGGCGGAAATGAGTGTCAAATCGGAGCCTATAGATGATATGGAAATCGAAGAGGAGAGCTTGGTATGTATATGAATTAAATCAAACTTCAATTAATCTTTAGTGATTTAACCTATTTATGTGGGTGAATTGAATTGTATGAGTAGTGGAATTTAACTGTCCCGCTTAATTGCTTGGGTACCTCTGTCCCATTCGTGTTTCTACCGTGAAATATGGCAACGCATGGGGGGTATCATGGGCGAAACAGTATACCCTGTTATGTTCACGGTACTGTTCATATCTATAGGCGACGGTTACCACTTTCCATCAGGTGGGCCGTCAGCTTGTTTGTCGTTCTAAGTTGTATAAAAAAAAAAGAAGTTGTGAAGGAATCACTAATAACTATTTATCACGCAAAACTGTATGAGAAAGTTGAGTCGTTTTTCTCTATGCATTTGTACGGAGAGACTGTAGGTATGTAATGTAAGGTGGGCGTGTGCGTGCAGATATACAGCCCGCTGGCATGCGAGCTGTGCGCAGAGGTGTTCACGGTGCCGGCCGCCTGGGTGCGCCACGTGCAGGGCCACGCGCGCGCAGACCCGCCGCCTGCACGCAAGCGGAAACATCGCTCCGCTGTGAGTCACTTTTTTTTTTTAATAGATAAAATTGAAATGGTAACTCCGCCCGCGCCGTAGGGGAAGGTATTGTTAGTAATGAGATTTAATAGTCCCATTGCTAGCAATGTAGTCTCACAGGTCAACCTCCACGCTGTTCCCCCTAGAAACCATCATGGTTAATGTCGTGGGTATCGTAAGAGGCGACTAAGGAAATGGAATGGTCGAAGGATGGGCAGCAGCATTCTTTTTAAAATACCATTAAAGTCTAATTGTAATTACCAATTCGCCTGCCAAGTATGACATCTACTAGCAGAACCTCGTATGTGCTGGTGGATATGCTGATATGATGACGAGCATCTATTGAGTCTGAAATGAGACATCTCAGAATTTAAAATGTGAGTAAAGCCGACATAAATAGTTATAATACATGACTTGTTTCATATCCAACAGAGTGACGATACGGAAGAAACTATGGCATTGCTACGTTGCGACTTGTGTCAGAAGCACTTCCCCAATCCGGCCGAGTGGGTGCGACATATACAGAGCACGCACACAGAGACAGGTTAGTAATAAACACTTACTACTCACACGTAACCAATCGACTGATCATAAAAGGTACAACCTCATTTATTCATCCATACAGGTGTAGTGGGTAATATCTATTTTCTCAAACATGCTTGGAAATGTGAGCATTATTTTGACAATCTTCTTCAAGATAAATCAAAATTGCCGTACTGGCCAAGATACATGCGGGCAGCGGCCGGCAAAAGTTGTATGAAAATCCATATGTGTCGCGATTTGCGGCCAGATAAATTACTATGTAAACTCATATCTGTCCTGTAATTTAAAAATGGAATGACCTTTTACTTCGAAACATGGCTACCAAGGAGGTAACTAATAAAAGGTTTTATTTAAATTTCGAACTGTCTTGCAAATAGAAAGCTGTTTATTGTAAAAAAAGGAACATTATGGCGCGTGAAAAAATATTATTGTTCGTTATTCGACATTGAATTTAAAAAGCAAAATTGTGTTTTTGATTTCCGAGCATTGCTTGAAAAAAGTACTATACAAGCCTTGACCACAACTAGGCATTGATGGATTCACGTATGTGTGCCTCGACTACGGCTCGGCCGATATTTGTACGTTCGTCAATTAATACCTCAGTTGCTGGCCGCTGCAGTAGTACTATATATTGAAGTTACAATATGTACCTATATATTGGCAATAACGGATATATGTTACTGAACTATGCGTTTTCTTGCGGAAGTCCATATCACTGGTTATTTGATTAGAATCATTTTGTTTAATTCCGCTACCATTAGTATGTGTGCGACTGCCAACACTCGAAGATTGATCACCACTATTACTATCAGAAGTTCCACACCATTTCATAATAGCCATCTTCTTCGACTGCCATTTCGTCCTCTTACACTTTGCAATACGTGTTTCACCTCTAAACGAGGTATCTTCAGGCAAATTCAAGCGGATCGCTGTTCGGAGGCAGTCACACACATATTAATGGTAGCAGAATTAAACAAAATAATTTTAATCAAATAAGAAATAACGGATATTTTATATATCGATCAATATAAGCAAAATGGATATTGGACTGGTATGGGCGATATCAAAATGGGTCATGATGTTTTTTCCCCTATATGATAACTACTACCCGAATATATAAATATCGGAGGAGACAAAATACCCTAATTCCATAGTCATATTAGAAGTATGTAGTGGTGAACTCGACAGTACCTTCGTACTGCAATGGTAAGCAAGTCGCGTAAATAAAGTTAGGGCTCGAAGTCAACTCTTAGTCGAAAAAATCTTAAATACGCTCGGACCTGATCTTTTTAGGTTTTATTCCTGATTTTGTATTGTTCAGATTTTTAATACTCGCTACGACTTGCAACCCTGATTACCACCACTGGTTCATAATACCGTTATAGGAATTTCAACCACATGGCGGAGGTAGTAAAGTCTAGTTGCGACTTTAACGATGTATGCTGCAACAACAAAGTGATCTAATTTTAAATACTACATATATTAAAAAAAAAAAAAAAACCTCTTTAGGAATTAAAAAGAAATATACTTTTTTTAAACTTTATATCTGTACCACTGTAAAATATTATCCGTCGATGATATTTTTTTATAAATTATACATAGTATTAACTAACAACTGTGTTTTAACGGTGTACTTTACTTGTGTTTTACTAACATAGCTGAAACCTGATTGTTATGTATGTGGCTAATTCTCGACAAACGAACATCACGTCACATCCGTTTGCGTTACACGCCGCCTGTTGTTGTACAATTTTATAATTTTTTGCCTCGCTAATTATATCCACACTTTAGTTTTATGGAACACGCCCCCTACCTCGCTACACTCATGATAATCACTTCAGTTATGTTCTAAATTTGAAATTTTATAATAATGCAATACTTTGTTTGTCTCTTGCTTCGATCTATTTAATAACTGTGCACAATAAAACTGGCTTATTTATTTTGCAATATCAAACGAAGCATTGCAATGATGTGATCCCGTCTACACAGCTGTTGTGATTAAATCCTTTATTCTAAATGTGGTTCGATGTCGGTTGTCTAGAATTGGCCATATCAAACAACAGTGCCCCACCAAAACGTCACAATCGTTTCACAGAGGGCGTGCAAAACAAGACTTGCACGCACTGCAAGAAGACGTTCCCGTCGCACGCGTCCATGCTCATACACATGCGTACGCATACAGGTCAGTTGGACAAGTTTATAATAAATCATTATTGTTTCATAAAAAAAATCAAAATAAACTTCATTTATTTAAGTAAACGTATATTTTTTTTTTTTATTTTTAAGATACTTAGATTAGCAAATAAGCTGGCGACACGATCACAATGCGCTAAGTTTATAATAAATCATCATTGTTTCATAAAAAAAAAAAAAATCTAAATAAACTTCATTTATTTAAGTAAGCGTATATTTTTTTTTAAAGATACTTAGATTAGCAAATAAACTGGCGAAAATGCACTTTGATGTCCATAGTTTTTGCCTTGCCATTCTTGAAAACTAAGATGTTATGCTTCAGTAACCCATAATTTAATACTACTATATTTAATTTTTCAAATCAAAACACAGTATACAAACATATCTGTTTCATTGTAGACATACAGATCAGACAGAGGTACCCATTTAGACGAGTTTTGCACAAAGTCCTCTGAATTGTGACTGTAATTTTGAAAAGTTATCTGTTGAGAGAGAATTCATGAATAAATAATTTTTTTAAAAATCTTCAACTTTAACATCGTCTAGTAATAACCATGAGTCTTTTACATATTTGGTCGTAACACGCAGACTTGTACCTGAAATATTTTTGAGGTCGTCACTCCGTCTGAAATTATAGTTTATAGGGGCATAACATCTTAGTTCTCTGTTTCTGTAGTGCTTGAGGATTATAATAAAAGTCACAGTGTATTTTGTGATATATGTGTGGTGCGTGTTCATGTGTATAGACGACTCGTACCAATTTCAGCAGATAGCGCGTCAGCTTTACAAGTCGCATAAAAAAAGAAATAAGAAATGTCTTAAAAAACATGAAGAAATACATACAAAAAACATTTGAATTTAGAATAGGTAACCGTTGGGGAAGGGATTGTTAGTAATGGAGACTGAGAATCCCATTGCTAGCAATATACCCAACCAGGTCGACGTCCTCGCGGTTCCCCCTGGAAACTATCATGGTTAATTCCTGGTAAATTCACCATGATGGGCTAACTGGCCTGTTTTCGTTCTGATCTATCACCCTTCACTGGTGCTCCACCAGCGTATCCCGTTAGCGCAAGCGGGGTTCCCATACCATTTTCATCCATAAAAAAAAACTACGTTTGCCAACCCGCCTGACAAGCGTGGCAACTACTAGCAAAACTCTCCTCCTGGGGAAGGCTTATGTTCAGCAGTGGACAGTTAACGGCTGATATAAACCTAGGTTTAGTCTGTACTATGCATGTATCTAAACAGTAAATCTCTTGCAGGTGAACGTCCCTTTGTGTGCGGTCTATGCAACAAAGGATTTAACGTGAAATCAAACTTGCTTCGTCACCTGCGCACGTTACACGACCAACTCATCAGTCCGGCGCAGGTGGAAGACGAGAGCGAGGAGTCCACGCCCGGACCCTCGGAGGTCAAGAGGGAGTCCTGAGGACGCGGAGGGGGGGCAGGTAAATGTTAATAATATCCCGCATGCTCGTTTGCCCCGTGTTGTAAAAAAAATTTACGCAAAACTACTACTCTACTGGTTCCAAAATATGTCTTTTGTAATTTAGTTTAGTAAATTAGAATGGGACTACGTTACTACTTACTAAACAGTTGAGTTATATAATATAAATAGGTTTATCTAAGGGGACGGAGTTGACCATGACCGCCTTAGAATTATCTGGTGTCCACCCAGGGATTCGAGCGGAACTTTCGTTTTGTGTTTTTCTGAGGGGACATATCTATCCTTTTTTAAGGGTTCAGACCCTCTCCCCTTCTTTTTTTCATGGATTATAATGAAATGGTAACTGCGCCTGCGCTAAAAGTTTACGCTGGCGGAGCACCTGTGAGGGATGGATGATAGGTGAGAATGAAAATGCAGGTCAACCCATCGTGATGAATACGTCTAGAATTTAGCACGATGATTTCCAGGGTGAACCATAGTTCATCCCTCCATATGTGGAGGTGGATTGGATTGCTAGCAATGGGACTGGTAGTCCGGATTATTAATAATACCCCCCGCCCCCCCTGGAAAATAATCTTAAATACGCCGATGGCTGATATTGCAGGAAGAGGACGCGGTCGTCGCGCTCCTTTCATAGCCACAATGGCGGATACGACCCGGCGCGGTGAGAAGAAGAAACAAGCTGAGGCAGCGGCCAGCATTCCGCGCAAACAGAGCTACTCGCTGTTCCTCAAGCAACGCGCCGTGCTCTTCTCCGCCAAGAAGTGGAAACAGTGAAGCCTTGTCGTCGACTCGTGACAACTTTGTGTGTCGTTCGTTTAGTTCGCTGCCTACAGACGTCACAAGGGAACGTAATTATTTCCTAGGAAATACTCAGCTTGAAATATAAACTGAGTGTCGCTATCTCTGGTCACATTTTATTATTTTCAGTTAGTTTTATTTATTGTAAGATATTCCAAAGGAAGTTCTAGTCATGAAAAATAGTATGTATTTTAAATAAAATTTAATTTACTGTTAATTTACAACGATAATTTTATAAAACTATGTAATATGAAGCACGTGTGCATATTGCAATAAAGCGCGTTGCGAGTGTAATTCTATCAGTCAGTAATTCCTGAGTTTTAGTTACGTAGCGTCGACGTTATTAATAATGACGATAAACAACAAAATTCCAAAGATAGCGATGTTCAGATTTATTACTTATTGAAGTTTGTTTCCATCTGATCAATCCGACTAGTGGTTCTAATTATCGGATTGTTACAACTATAAAATATGCGGAATGGATTGTTTAGAATAGATTTGTGATGTCTCTAGATAGCTTTTCTTACAATTGAATTGGTACTGTAAAATGTAACGATGTCGCGTCTGGTTCGTTTCACTTCTGATCCTGCCCACCCTCCTTTCTTATTTGTATTTTATAGTTACGAAGGTTTGGTTTAGGTTGATTTTAATTCAAGTGAATTATTTTTCTATTGTATAATCTTATAGTTTTAGTAGTATTAAGAAAATTATTAAGAATATCATAGTGCTACGTGATTTGTAAGTCTTGGTATCAATCACCCTGGAAACTTTATGGTGATTAGCCATCTGCCTATAATTTATTTTTAAACGTATATTAAGAATGTTAGTATAAGTGTACACTGTACGTTTTACATTTATCCAAACATTCCAATTTGCGATCTCATATCGTAATACTTTATTTTAAAAGTGATAATTTAAGTTAATGAAAATTAATTTACACCAAATTGTATACCGTTTTGTACATTTGTGGATTAAATTCCAGAAACGTAAATTTGGAAACATATTATGTTAGTTTAAGAGTTGTAGCAGAATACGAAATTTTAAGTTAAACATTTAATTTTATTTATATTAATTTATTATAGGTCCGCCAAATGACAAAATGGCATAAACAAGTTTTAGTACCCTTACTTAGGAATTACCTACTGTATAAATTTTTAGTATATCACATTAGCGTCTATTTATTGACTGCAGTATAATAACAGAATTTCCCTGTTCATAAAAGTCTGTTAAATACGGTTGCCATATTGTGCTATGTTGTCATTTGTCGTCCTTATTGTGCAATTCCTATGGAATGCACTTTAATTTTCGTTTAATTGGATTTGTGGATTTCCAGTTAAATACTCATGTGAAATGTTAACATGATGGATAATTTGTACTATTTTATATAATAGTATGTGGAATTAAATATCTTAACAGAGCGCCTCATGTTTTTATTATTAAATTGCCTATTACATTTTTGTCGATTCGCTGTATCTTGTTTGTATATTTTACATGATACATTTTCGTAACTTATTTAAATATTTTGTAGTCAAGGGGTTGACTTCAAACTCTATGAATATAGAGATTAAACTCGTTTTTGTGCGAAGTAAGAGACAGCAAAGTACGATGGCAATTAGATCCATTAATTTGGTTGCGAAATTGTTATTAGGTATAACTGCCTACACCTATACCGTTTTAGTTCAAAAAGAATACTAATAATTATAATAATGCTCCAATTAAAATTAGTTCAATGACGCTATTGACATCAAGCTTAGATTTACGCCAACCATTGATGCCACCTTTTCACAGATTTCGGAATAGATTCTTTGTTCTTAGGATTTCCATATGAATCCAATGTTTTTAAACGAAACAAATATTTAAAAAACCCATGTATTTTCTTTAATACACTATTTTTTTTTAATATTTTGTCATATGTAATATAGTATAGGTAGTATTATATTATCTGTGGTATAGGGATATAGGGAAAATGTGACCGTGACTCGATATATGCCGACCAATATATGCAGTGAAAAAAACTAATCAATAAGTTGAAAATAAATTTAATTACCCTCTCACATTTCTCATTATTATCACAATGTTACAGTAATACACACAGTGTACAAATAATACCAAACTAGAAAATGTACATGATACTGAAATGAGTGAGCTTGAACACAAGGAGCAATAAGTAAATTTGTATTATTAATTTAGTATAACATAATCGCTTTCAAAATTAGGCACGTTCAAGTGTAACTTTTTAACTTGATTTAGGCTTTTGACAAAAATCTTAACTGTCTTCCTCTTCAATTTTCGGAGCCAGATAGTATCGAATTTGGCCGATATCTTGAATACGGTACTCTACCACCAGGGGAACATCAGCCGACATGGACAGTTGGACCTGTGGAACAACGTGTTTTATTAGAACTTCATGGAAATGTACACAAACCAATAATTGAACCGTTAACTGTCCACGGATGAATAAAAGCTTTCTCCAAAAGGGGATTTTTGCCAGTAGTTGCCACGTTTGGCTCGCGATCCGTTTATTTCAGGCACAGAATGGGCCACCCATTCCTTTCCTGTGGGTGTCGTAAGAGGCGACTAAGGGAACTTAATGATAGAAGGATGGGCAGCAGCATCCCTCTTAAAACATCTTTAAAAACCCTAACTGCAGTTACCAATAAGACAGTTTGCTGGTATTCAATAGTAGTACAAATAAAAAGTAGATTAAATGTTTTAATTTGTTAATTTAGTGTGTCTGTGTTTCAATTTTATAGAACTACTTTGTTTTTAACCACCTTCAAAAAGAAGGTTCAGAATTCGGTTGTATTTTTTTGAGGTTTTAGAGGTAGAGTTATGAGGTAACCTCATAACTCCAAACTAATTCCAAAAAGTTATAAACCAATTTGGAAAATTATTTTTTATGTATTTGTTTTTGTTTAGTTTGTATTTGTATTTATTTAGTCTGCTACCATTAGTATGTGTGCGGCTGCCAATATTTATGGATTGATCCTTGTAGGCTATTAATATACGTAAGCCACTAAATTATAATACTAAATTTGCATGCCTTTAGATAAGGCGAAATGTGTAGATCTATTATATTTAAGACCATTATTATAACCACATTTCTAGCAAATAAATAAATTATTAATATTATTATTATAGTGAAACGATATACTTACAAATTCGTTCCATAGAAATTTTATCACAATCAGTTAAGTAGTTTTGTTTTAAAATCAATATAATTGGTTTTGAAGTTGGCTTTTTTTTTATAAAACATATTGTCAGTGAATTAAATTTCGTCATCCAGGGATTTATTGTGCAGATTTGTTTTTTGAAAAGTTCAACTTTTTTGTTTGTTGTGTGTTGTTCTATTTCGACGTTGCCACAATTCGGTAAGCGAAGTTATGAATAGTCTCAAATCAACTTATTCTAAATTGGACAACTAAAGAACAGATTTACGTATTTTGATACAACAGCGTTATATAATATCTTTTCATAGCTATTTTATAAAATAACCACCTGTGGGCTTAAAGATGTGGCCTTAGTGAAGTAGTTGAGATATTGGCAGGCGAATGTAAGTGTTACGGGCTCATCCATCTCGATTACAACAGCCTCCTCTTCCTTATCAATAGAAGCAGTCTGCGCCAGCTTCACATTCGCAGAACCAATGTCACCAGTGGCTGAGAACTTGACACCTAAGGGCAAAGATTTTATTTGATGACCTTGACCTTGATACTATGTAAGTTTGGTCCCCACACATAATGTAATTAATATTATGGTTTGAAATATTATCTATATATATATTTTAAAAAGTATTTAAGTATGTATATCAATTGTCTAGTATACATTGTACAAGCTTTGCTTAATTTTGAACTAGGCACAGTGGTAATGTCATGTCCAGTGGTATTTTTAATTTCTTGCTTATTTTAATCCATCTGAAATAAATTCTAAAGCTAAAACTCTGGTTATTTTATCCATCATTCATCACTTGTATAGCTGATACTATAACAAATCTTCATTATACTTGTCTGATCACTATGACAGTCTCAGAGACAAGTATATAATAAATATTCACACTTTTCAATCTGCATAATATGCATTCAGAGGCTCGTTTGATCAACACAATCAAAAACTAATTTCTTTTAGTGTATATAGGAATGCAGTAGTCTATAATGGATATTCCTATTTAAAAATTCTTTGCCTTATCAATATGGAGACTATGAATATTATAACTTTTCTGAAAGAATTGCATTTAGTGAGGGTATAAGTAAAACATTGCTATTGCTATGTGGTACCAGCATAGAATTGGCCACCTGTTATTTTCCTGTAGATGTTGTTAGAGGCAACTAAAGAAGGGCACGGGATGGGTAGCAGCATCCCTCTTAAAACATCTTCAAAGGTTTACTGCGGTTGCCAATCTGCTTGTCAAGTGTGGCAATTACTACCAAAACCCCACAAGGGGGAAGATTATGTTCAGCAGTGATCAGTGAAAGGCTGATATGAGAAGTAAATCAAGTAAATAACAAAAAGTAGAAATAACGTTGATATACATTAGCAAAGATTATCATTATTTATTAAAATACATACATTTATCAGGTAATATGACTAATTACAATCATTATATATAAATAAGTATGATATTTTATGATATTATAGTAAATCTATATCTCATCATCATCTTCCTACCCTTATCCCAATCATTTGGGGTCGGCGTAATATGATTTTATCCATATTACAAAAAGATTTGGTTTTTAGTTTTACGACCGGCCACCTGCCTGACTTCAACCCTCTTTGGGATATAAATCTATATCTCATATCAAATAAATATGTAAAATAAATTAATTAAATAATGATAAAAAAATTATGTATATGCATTTAGATATCTTATTAATATATATTATATTATTAATTTTACCAGATTAATATTATCAGTAAAAATAATACTCAGATCAGTATTGATAAATAATTGATTTTTTAGTAAAGAAGGAAAAGTATGTTAATATTATTTTTATAATTTAAATTCAAAGATTGACTTTCAAAGTTACCTACATAAAAGTTGGTATAAAATCAATATAAAAATATAATTCTTACCTTCCTTGGTGCATGAAATGACCATGGACTCTCCAAATTGTGACAAATCACGGCAGATTCTGGCAAACTCTGCACTTGGCAATCGAATAGTGCAGCTGTATTCAGTCTCAGGAATGCCTAAAATATCAATAATTTATAGGTAATAAGTAAAGAATACCTAACAATAAAGGCAGGGTGTGCTTGCACATCTTAATACAAAACTTATAGTGGGACTATAAGTTTTGTATGATGTATTACCAATTGGAATTTCAATAAAACCTAATAAAAAAAAAATTTAATGAAAAGGAAGAAAATTAAGAATAATCTATTTTTCTATAATAAACGTAACTCACATAAAAATATAAACATTTTTTTTTTATTAAAAATAAATAGTTAAATTAAATACTTGTTCATATAAATAAATCATTAGATAAATCAAAATCAAATTCAGAAATGCTGGGTTTGATGTCTGGGAAACAATATTATATTTTATTTATTATTTTAATATTTTATTTTTATATCCTCATACCTAAATGTTCCAAATCCAAATTCATGAGTTTCATCTCATAGTCAGACACCTTCTCTTGGTTTGGGCTCTCAAAGACAAATGTGACAGTATCAGCATTATCCTGCGCTTTCATAGTCACTGTGTCCTTGTCACCAGCACATTTTAGGATTTTTGACATACTGGAAAATAAGGTTTGTACTTTGTAAGTGATTCTTAAATGCATTTTTTATTTAATATCTTAGTCTTTAAAATATCCTTGCATATTCTACCTAGCTTAAGTTCATTTCTCTCCAATCAAAATGTATTTCGCAGGTATGGATTAATTTTAAAACTAATTTGGAGAGAAATAATTTATTTATTTATATTATATTCTTTATTGCACTTGAACATTATTTATATTTTAAATTAGTTTTCTACTACATACTCATAGATTTCAGATGTAGGAAAACCAATAAAAGAGAAAATATTTCTAGATGGGGTATTAAGATAAAATATTTACCAATTTTTAATTTAGTTCTTAAGGAACATAAATGTGAAAAACGCCTGCAGTTTTCATGTCAGGCCAGAACAAACATACAGAATGAAATAATTAAAAAAAACTTTTTTGGCATCTGTTTATCCTATTAAGAGCTCTTATATATTATTTTAAAATACCTTTCATGTCGAGACTACCTTTTATATTATTTTAAAATATCTTTCATGTCGACATTGTCTAGTTAAACTTTTATTACACTAGTAAGATGTGATTTAACGGGTTAACTTATTCATGTAAAAATAGTAGTTTAGTAGTTTAATACCTTCCTAGATTCATGCCCATTGAGATGTTTCTGTCACACCTGTACTTGTCAAATCCATCTGCTCGGAGAGTAAGGGAGACAAGTGATACATGGGAATTATCCATAGCCTGTGAAAATTGAGTATTATTGGTCATTCTAAACATGTATTGGATAACATTACATTAATAGGTGTTGTAAATTGGAATATAATACTTTGCTTTGAATAGGTGATACAGATGTAAAAAAATTCTAAGTTACCTGTAGTTGAATGCCATTATCATCACAGTCGAATGTGGCCTGTGTGAGTAGGTCTTTAATAGCTTCTAAGACCTTTTTAAGTATAGAGCTTCGGAGAAGGCGTGCTTCGAACATTGTCTGAAAGTAGAGGATTTAAAGATTAATTAGTCAATTATTAAAAATAAAACTTAAACACAGAACTTTTATCGACGACCTATGATAGTCAATTAAAAATATCGAAAATACAAGCACATTCATTTAATGTAATCTGTATGTAGATATGAACTATAGAATTCACATCCGGTAATGTTATATTTTGGAATACAACGCTAATAAATTAAGTACTTACATTTGAACAACGCTAATAAATTAAGTACTTACATTTGAATTCTATGTAGTGATCTAAAATATGTGAAAATAAATGTAAAATAGATAACGACGCTTATATGTCGGTGAACCCACAAAGAAAATGACAAGACGAGAGCAGGAATCCGAAACAAAACCAGCGGGAATAAATGGCGCGAAATCTGTGAATTAATATGTCAAAGTTAACTGTCAAAACTGTCAAGACATCAACCATCATATAGAATAGTTTTATATTTTCATGTAACCGTAGACAGAGAATAAGTTCAACTGTATTGACACCATAAAACTCTGGAGCTTTTATTACATATTTTACCTATGTAACATTCTATGTAAAAGTCTCATATTACGTAAAGATAGGGGTGGGGAGGAGGGATTATTAGAAATAGGGTTTAATTTTCCCATTATGCCCTATCAGGTCGACCTCCACGAATTATAGAGGAACTCATTACAATTGGTTAACCTACTTGGGAGGAAAGGGAATGTTAATAATGGAGACTAAGAATTCCAATGTTAGCAATATACTCAGCTAGGTCGACCTCCACGCAGTTCCCCCTGGAAACTATCATATTTAATTCCTGATGAACTGGTGCCCCGCCAGCGTATTCCGTTAGCGCAGGCGGGGCTACAATTCCATTTTCATTCATAAAACTGACGTACTTTCATCGTCATTACTTACCATTTCATTATCACCCAATAAACAAAAAAACTTTGTAAAGATAAAATTATATCTGCTTTTTATTTCGCCATTTTCATGTCTCGATTTGATATTTTAAAAGATTTTTTAATTAGATTTTTTACCTCACAACAATTTTATGCAATTTATAAACGTGCCATTACTCTAACCTTATACTATTTAAGTGTGTATTGTCACAAATTACGGAGACATAATATTTTTTTAATTTAAATTCTACATTATAAGCAGTTTTCTATGGCAATTATACAAAACACACGTATTTATAAACTTTATATAGTACATAAAGGAAAGTAATTGCTGTAAAGAGAATTATTTTTTTTTAAGAAAATTTAAGTCCCCATTTTTTATGTTGCAATTAATGACATCAAAATAAAATTCAAGTTGCAAAGTAAAAACAGTTTTATTTACAATATTAACAGGATAATATAAACTACCACAATTTAAAGAAATTAAATAATCCTTTCCATGAACTATTTTACAAACTCAAAATGCATGTACTTTTTTGCTTTTAAAGACAAAAAACTTAACAAGATAATTGTACTACTTGGTCCTGTGCAGGATAATTAGGTAGTGTAAGATTGTATTTGGTAATTATTTCAGGCGGTAAAAATCTACCTCCTAAGAAGTGTTTAGTGTCATTTAAGATTTCAGGCCGAGCACAAAGTTTTGGTGCAGAAAGAGATATTAACATTGCTGGTTTCAAGGCATGACTAGAATCAGGACCCTTTTCCACATGCCATCCACTTGGAATGTCCACACTGAAAAAAACATATACATGGGCATCACCAAAAATATTTTTAGGAAGGTGCATTTGTACCTACACACTATATTATTAAGTAATAAAATATAAATCATAGATAATATTAAACATGTATGTACAAATTTGAACAGCAATCCAGATGCCTTAAGTTTGTATTCAAAGATTTTAAATATCTCATTCCCAACGAGGGGATGTAAGTGCACCCTTTTGAAATTCACTGCTGGTACTGATGTGTATATTTGCCATAAGTGAATATTATGCAATTTAAGCCATTTAGAGGAATAGTGTGCATGAAATAGTTGTTAGTATGAGTGGTTGATCCAAAGGACAAATGTAGACAACATTTGAGGATCAATTTTAATGACTCTTTTATAACTAAAAACTTTGCTTTTATGTTGGTCCCATACTACATACATGCATTCATATCTATCATGCCTGTCTCCTATTAGGCTAGGCAGAAACAATGGAAGACCAAATGCTTGAATCGCTTTCCACATTCATGTATACTTTCATAGATGCTCCTCATTCTATAATCACCCATTCTAATTTAATAAATGTCTCAAACAACATTCTTTAAATCAAATTTAGTACACATGGTCATCATCTTATACTTCATACAGACAGACAAAGCCATGAGAATGTCTAGCATAGAATATATTTTCACACTCTTTAACTATACAAACCTGCACACTGGTAGTCCACTATCTATTAAAGTGTTCAATACTGGCTTCAGTTCATCTCTAACTGGTGGCTTAAAACTAAATCCAAATAAGGCATCCACTAGTATTTTGTAATTATTAGCCAAATCTTGTGCAGGTGGAAGTTTCTCCACAATGTTCACTCCAAATCTTTTACACTGTTCAAATAGATTCTCGTACAATGGTTTTGGTGTTCTTTTCGGGTAGTGGACAGCAACAGTATAACCAAATAATGCCATATGACGTGCTGCCACCAATCCATCGCCTCCATTATTACCTGGCCCACAAATTATAAGTGCTGATTGATATCTGTAAATAAAATTGAATTATACATTACTTTCATACATAACGCAAATAAAAAAATATATGAACCTTGTTTCATTTGGGTTCATATATTTTTTGTTTACAAATGTAAGGAGGACATTTTGAAGATATATTTTTGTTTCATTAAATAAAGCTTATATGTATTCAGTAAAAGAAAGTAAAAGTTATAAGTAAATCTCAACAATTTATTTATTATGGATAAAAAAAAACAATGTCATGATTTTTTGATTTAATTGAGCAAAAATTAAAAGAAGAAGAAGAATAAGAGATGGAATATAAATAGACAAATAGAATTGAATACAGGTGTTAGAATGTGGATGGAGCAGAAAGAAATATAAAAATTAGAATAAACAAATTGGGATAAACAGTATACTCTGTTACGTCCATAGTATTGTTTATGTCCATAAGCGACGGTTACCAGTTTCCATCAGGTTGGCCATCAGCTTGTTTACCATTCTAAGTTGCATAAAATAAAACAAATATTGGTTTTCGTTTTACATCGGAAGCCCATTCATAAAAATATATGTAAAAAATAATCAGAAATTAAGTCCATTATTGTACTTACGTAGACGGTGGATAAGTGCGGGCAACAGCAGTCGCTACACTCAAACCCGCCAATTCCATAAGCTGATCAACACTAAATTTATATTCATTGAACAATTCCTGGTCTAAATTAGCCGCTTCTGATTGTGTTAAGTATCGGATTCTGCCGCTGCTGCATTGTTTAATACCGGTAGCCATTACTTCTCCGCTCCAGACGTTAGCCACTCGTAACTGAAATATCACATAATTTTGTACTTAATAAGTTTTATAAAAATTAATTAAAGTAATCATTTTTTGTTACAAATAAGACGTTACAAACTTACCAATAAGGCGCTTCCGATAAGCCGAAAGAATAACATTTACACTGAATAATAAATAGATCATATGATAGTGAACGCGTTTCTTATCGTCTACGATATCTAAAACTGTAGGATAAAATAATAGTCTTACGCAGTATTAAAATAGAAAAGTAAAATTACGTAAAAAAGAGGTTCTTCTGAAAAAATCTTCAGAAATTACAAATAAACTATATTTTAATCTTAATATTTACAATTATAAAAACAGCGATTATTTGTCAATCAAAATGTCAGTATTGTCAATCAAATACATTTTATACATTGACTTGAAACCAAAAACATTGAATTATATATGATTAAGTAAATTTATCTATAGCAAAATGTAAAAATTTATATTTTATTCAGTATTTATAATGAAATATGAAAATTATTTGTAAATCTAAAAATACTAAGAATTTTCGGTTCTTGATTCATTATTTAAAAAATGCTCTCTTTTGCGAACTAGATCGTTAATCATAGAATACGTTGCATATATACTTTTGCATATAATTCTGAAAACAATGAATAACAACAAAAGCGAAATTTTTAGTAAGTTTAATATGTATTATAGTTTAATAACATGATGAAGCTGTCACAATGTCAATGTCATACCGACATTGTATCGTAAGTGAAGTTTCATTTGACAACCGTTTACTCATCCGTCACAAAGATGGCTGCGCTCAGAGTGTTTAGTCGTAATTTACCATATTTACGACAACAATTTTCCGCATTACTAGGAAACACATCACCTTCTGTGAAATTTATTTGTGTTGTTGTAATAATTGGCTATGTTTTATCATTCTCCGATGATGTTGTGGACGTTTTAAGTGTAACTCCGGGGTATTTGTTGCCACCTTCTTTTCAATTGTGGTCTACTTTCACGTTTTGGTTTCTAGAAATACATTTGTGGGAGGTAGTGATTGATATAATTACTGTGGGATTATGTGGGAAGTTAATAGAGCCGCTATGGGGTCCTATGGAGATGATGAAGTTTTTCTTTTTGACCAATATTGGCGTGGCGTTTCTAACAACATTCTATTATTTAGTGATATTTGCTTGCACCGGACAGGCATCGTACCTCTTCGATATACATGTCCATGGTTTAGCTGGTTACCTGGCAGCCGTGAGTGTGGCTGTCAAACAGATAATGCCAGATCACCTACTAATAAAAACTCCATTAGGTAATTATTTTTATAGAACACTTCTTCTATATCTAAATAAATACTTTACTAGTCATTAATATGATGCATTCATTGGATGCAATAATTTGCAGTAACTGGCTCCAAAATTATTTTCTATGTCAATGTTTCATATTTAGTCAAAATTAATTTAATTTAGCTTTGAAACTATATAATTCTCATAACATAATAAAATAATAAGTATCATGTATTATTATATACCATTATATCATTGATGGATATGCAGTATTATATATTTTATTCTGATTTTAGATTAAATAAATTAAATAAGGATAAATTTAAATAGAGATTTGAATAACCATCATAAGGTAAAAAATGTAAAAAAAAATCAAAATGTAAATTGTTCTAATTTTCATCTTAAGATTTGTTCAGTAGTTTATTTTTTCATATGTAAGTAATAGAATCCTGCTAGATATATATCTGCCAGGATTATACCTCAAGATTCATAGATTTTCAGATCCATTATTTATAGTATTACTGTTAGAAGTAAATGTATTCAATATATTTTTTTTATAATCTATCACAAACTTTGGTAAATAATAATATTATTACTAGTATTTATATAATTATAATTATTGTGTTGTAGGTAAACTCACAAATCGTTCACTACCGCTGCTGATTTTAATAGCTGCAATAATACTTTGGGCCATCGGAGCCCTGGAGGGCACATATCCCTGCATGTGGGGCAGTGGAGTGATCCTCTCATGGATATATTTAAGATTCTGGCAACAGCACAGCAGTGGCACTAGAGGAGATATGGCTGATAACTTTAGCTTTGACAAGTAAGGTTTTTATGTTTTTTTTAGTCTTCTAATTATGTTTAAGTAGCAATTGGTCTTTGTCCATATTTAGTTGACCTTGCACTACTTAAAGAATAATACAAAATATATATTTCATTAATAAAGAAAATTTTTGTTGAATATTATTTTAATTATTATTATAGTATATATTATATTATTATAATATATATTTAATAATTAATAAATATTATTCTAATAAGTCTCTCAGTATATATTTTTTACAATAATTGTATTAACAGCATGTATAGCATACTGCAGAGACTTCTGAAATATGGTTTTTTATATATTGGTATACAATTTTAAAACAATTAGTTATAAAATTCATTATATTTAATTTAATGTGAATTGTAATACTGTTGCTGTGCCCAAATAAATAAATAAATATGTGCCTTTAATTGCAATGGGTAATGCATTGAGTGTAGCATGTGTATCTTTGAGAATAATTATCATTAATTTAGCCATTACCCACTGCTAACTACAGATATTTGACCTATTTATTTTAATTATTGCATTCCAAAATGTTGGTAACAGTTGGTAAACTTAAAGCAGATCTTGTATGAACCTTTTTTGGTACAGCAAATAGGTTTTAAAAATGTACAGTTCTAATTATTGCACAAAGATAATATCAAAATATATATGTTTTTCAGTTTCTTCCCTACTGTTCTGCAGCCAGTAGTGCGAGGTATTCTGGGCCCTCCACACCGTTGCCTAGTGAGGCTCGGTTTGTGCTCCCCCAGTCCGCGCCGGGTGCATCTTGCTTTGAGTCCACGAGGTGTCACTATATCCATGCCAGGAGTGGAGCCCCAGGACATGGAAAGGCGGAGGTCGGTACTCCAGGAAAATATGATAGCTAAGAATTTGTGTCAGCACTATTACGATTTTGGCTGGCCTAGATCTCTTTAAACAAAAATAATGTTTGTATGAAATTTATGTAACCAGTTCATTGAATTTGAAATTTTTACATTATAGTTAGGTCTTTTATGATATCTAACAATGTCGATATTTTGAACAAAGGTATATTACGATTGTTTAAATTATACAACTATGAATATTCATTATTTTATTGTGTTTACCTCTAGATAGTTGTATAAATTCATTTTCAAATTTCATCAATATAATGACTGTAGTAACCCTAAAATAATAGTGATTGTTTGCTCTACATTTTTTAAAATAAAATGGATAATTAAAATTACAATTAATGAATAGTTAATTATGCATGTATCATCATGTACGAGAAATAAATACTAGTAATATCTAGTATCTATAATTGTGGTTGAAATTCGGCTAATTATCATGTATGTGATTACTACCTTAGTTCGCCTTGACATATTCAGTGTAACTTATATTAGTTTTTTCCTGCTATTTTGTACGCATGGATTTCAGAAGTAAGAAAATTAATGACAGAACACTTCTAGATGGTGGTGTATCAAGATAAAGCATATCATCATAGTCGTAGAATACTGACAGATCTTTATATGTAATCTTTGTCATTATTCTACGACTTTGATGATATATCATTTTTAAGTTAGATCTTTAGCAACACAATTGTGAAAATGGCATCCAAATTGGTGTAAGTTTTGTGTGAAATCAGAACAAACCTACCTACATGCAACATTTCTAAAAATTATTGTTTTGGCTTCTATTATTCTAATTAAGAATTTTTTTAAAATGTCTTCCATGTATAACAATAGTCTAGTGCACTTTTATTATGTTTCAATAAGATTATATACAAAATTGGTATAGAAGGCGTAAGCTTCATGCTCTCAGGGTCCTGCACCAAGAATGAAAAGAATAGTAACAAATGTTCATGAAGTATTTGATTAATATATATATTTTTTTATCCTATAGACAAATCGCGCTCAAGGCATTGAGCGAGAGATTATCCAAGACATCTGAACAAACGAGACAAAAGAATCTATCTACCAAAGTGAACATGGATGCTGTTAGGAAGATGCAGCCTCCACATGTGATACCGCAATTCGCGGAGACTCCAACGAGCAGCCAGGCGCCGCCTGCTGCCGCTGAAGCGACCCTTGTCGATATCAGCACAGAACCAACTCCGCCCACCACAAAACAGTCATGATCTTCACAGTCAAATATTACCTAATAAGGCTGTTCACAGAACCACTTAGAAATAGGCCAATGTTGTTGACAAAGTCCAATGTTGCTAGTGTGAAAGTTAAACCGAATTTAGATAAGCGGAAATGAATGGTAAATGAAAGTTGACATTCTTGTAAGGCTGTGACTGTGTTGCCAGGTTTAATCTGAAATGGCACTTTTAATTTTAAAACCATCATTAAATATTTATATAAAATTAATATGTTTCTATGACTTGATGAAAATAGGGATTAAGGTGATCAATTCAAATATCTATTAATTTTTTAAATGTTTTTTGAATATTCTCAGATTAAAACTGGCAACTTTTGGTTGTGAGGTAAATATAAATGAAATTAATTATACGCGTAAGGTAAATCATGTTATTAATTTCTGGATTCAAATGGATTGTAACTGATGAATTTGCATTTTGACAGTCACGATATTTTTTTATACCTTATTTATTACAATATCCATCCTTTTGAATGCATTTAAGTGAATAGGCCTTTATCGCCTTTTTAGATGTTCTGACTGCAAGCGGTGGCGTACTTGGTGTACTGAAACGTGTGAAAAGGTACTTACAGTAATTGCAAAATTGGACTTTGTTAATAAAACAAAAAAAAAAATCGTATTGTAATTTTTGCAGTGGTGCTGTGAACATTACACTGTTTACAGATTACACAGTTATTGTTTTTTTTTAAGACTTGCGATTAATTTCTGTATGGTTACAGTTGTGTGTATGGTATAAAGAAATATTTTTTGCAGATTTGCATTTGTTGATGATGTCAAGTTAATATGATGATGAATGATGTGACATATTGTAAATATTATTGATATAAATTAGTGTTAAATAAATAATATTCAATCATTCTATTGTTTATAATTTTTACTGTTTGTTCAATATAATACTAGTCTTTTGCCGTGTGGTCGCGGCATAGAATAGGCCACTCTTTCCGATGTCGTAAAAGTTGACTAAGGGAGGGCGAAGGATCCCTATTAAAACATCTCTTAAAGCCTAACTGCGCTTGCCAACCCTGCCAAGCGTGGCAATCACTGGCAAAACTCCCCTTATGGGGAAGGCTTATGCCCAGCAGTGGACAGTTAATACGGCTGAAATATAAAAGAAAAAACTGGTCCTTAGTTGTAACTTTGGTCGCGTAACGAAGAGTTTTTTGGTTGACCGGGATAAAGTAACCGTTGTCTTTTTCCACCCCGAATAGTACTAGTATATTTTATGATGATTGCTTAAACCGTTAAGGCGTCAATAAACAAACTTACTTTCATATTTATAATATTTGTTTTATAACGTTACCTCTATAAATCCCAAGTTGATATAAATTTTGGGTATTTCAGAAACAAGTGATATTGTTATTTCACTTAACAGCTTATATTTGTATTTATCGTACATTTAACTTACTTTTAATAGGAGGTTAAACGAGAGAATAATTATAAGAAACTTATATTTTTATCAGTTTATTTTTATTACATATTAATTTGCTTGCCAGAAATATTTTTTTTTTTTATAAATCAGTACGAATCATTTAAATTCTTTTCTTTTAAATGTACTTATATACATAAAGCTTATACATACGAGTTTAATCTTTTTTTTTTCTTAATCTTGGAACAGTTAGTAAACCATCTTGACATGCTTTTTTTTTATTAAAATGAAATAGTAGCTGTATTAAATTTCTTTGTTTTGATTATAATTATTATTTATTTTTTATTGAACAATAAAACTTGTACAAATAATAATAATATATAATAATAATAATAAAACCTTATTGTGGCGAGCTTAATGCAATATGGCATTCTACCTGCTAACCATTAGGTAAAAACAAAGCGTTTTAGGGCAGTGGTGGCGAACATGTGCATGATGTGCATCAACATCTCCAAACCTTAATTGCGGCTGCCAATCCGCCTGTCAAGCATGACAACTACTGATAAAAGCTTGGTGAAAGAATTTTTAAAGTCGATTGAGCAGTTTTTATATTTATCCATTACAAACAAACAATCAATTCTTTTCTTTTATGATGTTATATAGTTATGTTTATAGATCAGATACATATTTACCGGAAATCCTATTACTCGACTTTGCTCTAATTATATACTTATTTAAATATTGTCTTAATTTGTTGAACTTTTAAAAATTCAAAGTAACATGATGTGTGAATAATGTTGCATAAAATATAAATAAAGTTATTAATAAAACTGCACAACAATAAGTAACATACCAAACGATATTATATATTGTATCATTATCGTAAAGTATATGAGTAATACTATATCGCTTTAAAGGGAATGCAGATTATTTGGTAACACTGTATATGTATTTGGTAACATTTGATAAAATTCTCGTGTCGCGGTATTTGTTACCAAACTCCTCCGAAACGGCTTTATCGAATTTTATGGAATTTTGTGTGCATATCAGGTAGGTCTGAGAATCGGCCAACATCTATTGTTAATACCCCTCAATATTTTTTTTATTTTTTTAACAATATTTTTTTATTATGATTTAATATTGAAAAATACATACAAATTCAAATTTTCACGCTTGTACGATCAACCCCTATTTTTTAATCGCGATTTTTATATACCGCAATAGGGTTGCAAGATGGCAATCGAATATAATAATTGTAGTACGAGAAATTTTCATGTATAGTTCTCGAAATAATGTATATGGTAAAACAACGTTTACTGAGTCGGCTAGTTTTATTATAAAAATTGAGGCACGAATAATGCAATAACGTTTCTTTTCTCTAAGAACTTAGCTCTAAGCACAAACATATATACTCTGTACTCTGTAAAGATCTACAGGTAATCTACTCCAGAGACGTATGGAAGTATGAGTGAACGAACTGGATACAAATTTAGAATAATGTGATGGTATTGTGAGAAGAATGAAGACTAAGTTTTTGATAAACTGAAACCTGTCTTTGAAACAAGGGGGGGGGGGGGAGGAAGGATTATCGATAATAGAGAAGTATGCAAAGGATACGCAGCTCTCTGACGGTTACGAATGGTACTGTTACTATATTATTTATTGTTACTTTTTTTTTATACAACTTAGAATGGCAGACAAACAAGCTGACCGCCCACCTGATAGAAAGTGGTAACCGTCGCCTATAAACATGAGCAGTACCATGAACATAACAGAGTTTCGCCCATGATACCCCCCATGCGTTGCCATTCCTGAGGACTCGGATGTTATTCCTCTGTACCCTGTAAATTCACAATTCAAATTTCTAAAAGACTAAATTCGTTAAAAAGACATGCTAAGGCTGGTTACTAATTTGTACCAAGTTTAGAAAAACAAATACAATCCTGTTGTTGACGTAACAAATCTATATAAGAGGCTCATATTAAATTCTGTACAAAATTTGTGAATGTATATCAGAATATATACATAAAACATAATAAAGTATTTCTTTTTAAATTAAATTAGTCTACGATTTATTATAACTATTTAATAGTAATAATAATATGTTATAAGCTACTGCAATTGATCGTGACTCATGGATTCACGACATTCGAGACTGTATTACACACACCAGTATCACTTTAGTTGCTTCACGAATCACACCTTTATTGCAACGGCCGAGAGTCCGTCCAGTCTGCCGCAACGCCACGGTACTACAGTCGGTTGTATGTACACTATCAGCGGGTGCGCCGGTACGAGGGCTACCTGTAAGATGCAACAAAATACGAGATTGAGAAACTCTTAAGAAACCAGCTTCACCAGATGGAGACTTTGTACAAAAGTCGATTGCTTGTGTACCTTTGTCCCATTCGTGTTTCAACCGTGAAGCAGTTGTGTTTGCATGGCTGTATTTCGGTTTGAAGGGTGGGATATGGCGTGAATTTACTGGGTACGGAGGAATAACACTTGATTCCTCAGGAATGGCAACGCATGGGGGGTATCATGGGTGAAACAGTATACTCTGTTATGTTCATGGTACTGCTCATGTCTATAGGTGACGGTTACCACTTTTCATCAGGTGGGCCGTTAGCTTGTTTTCCATTCTAAGTTGTGTAAAAAAAAAGCTTGTTTCCTGCTACTACGTACACGTGGATTTCATAACCAGGAGACCGAAATAGGGCCCTTGTAGATGGTGCATCAAAACAAAATATACATTAATTTTTAACTTAGACCTTCAGGAATAAAATTGTTAAATCTGCGTCTATTTTGGTGCAATAGCTTTTACGTGACGCTGGAGTAAACATACAGACAGACAGATACGTAACTTTCACAAGTAGGAAAACTAATAAAATAGGGTCCTTGTAGATGGCGTATCAGGTTAAAACATACATCAGTTTTTCTCTCATCAGTCCTTCAGGAATAGAACTGTCGAAACTGCATACAATTTGGTGCAGTAATTTTTACGTGAAAAAAAAAACATGTGAAAGTAAAAATTTTTAAAAAACTTTGTTTTGGCATCTATGTGCAATATCTGTGTGCAATATTACCTGTAGTAGTGGTGCTGCTGGTGCGGCGCGTGCTGCGTGTGCGGCGGCCACGACTGCGGCGGGTGCTGGGTGTGCTGCGGATGCTGCGGGTGCTGCGGGTGCTGCGGCGGCGGGTAGGCGGCGTCGGGCCAGCGCGGGCCGTCGCCCAGCGGCACCACGCCCGCCGACATTGGACTCACGCCCGCCACGTTCGTGGTCATGTTGCCTGATAGAACACGGACACTGCATGTTATAAAACACTAGCTTTTTCCTGCCACTTTGTCCGCGTGAGCAGTATATGTTTATTGACCGCGATAAAAAGTAGCCTATAAAGGTTCTCATTCATCGTAGTACGTGTATATCAAATTTCATAGTAATTGGTTAAAATATTTAGGCGCTAATTGGTAACAAATAAACTCTCACATTTACAATATATTAAGGATTCTTAGAGGTACATTAAACATGTACAAGTGTTTTTAAAAAGTTTTACTAGAAAGAAATTGTACAAGTTATCTGAATGGATACTTCTGTCTTATTATTATTTACTGTTGCCCGCGACTTTGTCCGCGTTTCCGTCGTTTTTCGTAAAATAAGTAGCCTATGTTCTTCTTCCTCATGGTTCAGTGGTTTTGATGTAACAGACACGTCCCTTCACTGCTCTGCTCCTATTGATCGTAGCGTGATGAAAAGTATACTATAACCTGCCCAGGAGTATGAAGAATAATTGTACCAAGTTTCGTTAAAATCCGTCGAGTAGTTTTTGTTTCTATAACGAACATACAGACAGACAGACAAAAATTTTACTGATTGCATTTTTGGCATCAGTATCGATCACTAATTACCCCCTGATAGTTATTTTGGAAATATATTTTATGTACAGATTTATTATAAGTATAGATAAAACAGTGCAGTGGTGTACATACTGGGCGGCGGCACGTAGACAGCGGGTGGCGCGGAGTACGGTGCTGAGTAGTAGGAGTGCGGCGGCGGCACGCTCATATGCGGCAGCACCACGCCCGCCGCTGACACGGCCACGCCACCCACGCCGCCCACACCGCCCACGCCGCCCACGCCGCCCACGCCGCCTACGCCGCCTACGCCCAGCGACGGTGGCGGCACCGGCTGCGGCGGCTGCGCATATGATATTTAGATAGATATATTAATATATATATATATATATATATATATATATATATATATATATATATATATATATATAGATGTAAATTGCGATTTTACATTATTAATCTGGCTCGAAGGATCAAATGTGTGATTGGAGCTTGTTACTGTAACTAAATATATCACTAACTTTTATTGAAAACGTGTTTTGGTTGAAATATGTAAATTTTAGAATATGAAATATGTAATTATAGGTATTAAAGCAAAAATTTTATTGATTTAGATATAGTGCTTGCCGTGTGGTTCCGGCACAGAATTGTCCACCCCTTTCTTTCCCGTGGGTATCATAAGAGCCGGCTAAGGGAGGACGAGGGATGGGCAGTAGCGTTCTTCTTAAAACATCTCCAAAGCCTAACTGCGGACGCCAATCTGCCTGCCAAGCGTGGCAACTATTGGCTGGGAGGCTTATTTTCAGTAGTAGACAGTTTTTTTTTTTTATACAACTTAGAATGGCAAACAAGCTGACGGCCCACCTGATGGAAAGTGGTAACCGTCGCCTATAGACATGAGCAGTACCATGGACATAACAGAGTATACTGTTTCGCCCATGTTACCCCCCATGCGTTGCCATTCCTGAGGATTCAGGTGTTATTCCTCTGTACCCAGTAAATTCACGCCATATCCCACCTTTCAAACCGAAACACAGCCATGCAAACACAACTGCTTCACGGTTGAAACACGAATGGGACAGAGGTACCCAAGTTAAAGGGTGATATAATGATGATGATGATGAAATATACTGCAGTCTGATTAGCTGACAGTTCAGGGTCGACTACAGCGGCGGTACTAACCGGGTAGTAGTTGTAGTAGGAGTGCGAGTCAGGTTGGTCTTGTATGGGCACGGTGATGAGGTTGGCACGGCCGCGCGGCCGGTCGCCGGGCGCGGCCGCCGGCTGCGGCGTCTGTAGCGTGTGTCCGCGCGGGTCGTTCGCGCCCACCGACGGCATCTGAGCACAAACAATAGATATTTAAATAGAGGAGACGGATAATGTTGAGTTGCTTTCTACGGGTATTAGATGTCACCAATGCTCATCATCACGCGTGTCTACCATGAAATAAAATTTCGAAATTTCGGACTCAATTTAGTGTTTTTGTTTATACCAAAATAGGACCCTTAAATGTAGTTTAACATTTACATCCTATCATAAAAGTCAAAAGGAACAATATTTTAACATTATTAATATTTCTAAACGCCATGTATTATGTAATTTTAACATCAAATTTTTGTTTCGTTTGGCTCCGAAATTTCGGAAAATATTTCATGGTAGGCCCTCAGATGTCAACTCGACATAATCCTAATGTAGGGATTAGACAGCCTTGACATAGTTTACATTTAAATTTTAAAACATTTAAATATGGAATATTTATAAAATTCAATTAAAAAATGTAATCCGGAGTAAGATTTTAAATTTATCTTATGTAAAGTTCCGTGTCTATCCAATAATTGTCCAATCATCCCAGGATGTGAGTACAGCTTTTAGCTATGGGCAAATAAGTGTTTAGAAGATACATATTCACATTTTGTGTAGGTGTCACATTGCATTCCGTAATGTCTATGGTACTGTTCATGTCCATAGGTGACGGTTATCACTTTCCATAAGGTGGACTGTAAACTTGTCTGCTAAAATATAATAAAATATAATAAAAGGAGCCTGTAAATTTAGGTTTGCGCGCGTATCATAGTCGATTACAAATTTTTTCCTGGCTAACGCCAGTTTGCCACTTACACCCACGCTATTGAAATAAATTAAGTAGTTTCGAAGATTAGCGTGAACCGAATTTTTATATATCAAGACAATATTTTTTAAAAGGTGCCAGAAATCACACACTTGGTCTGGTATTCAAAGTGAGATATGCTGTGTTATGTGGAACTTGGTAATTAAAACTAGTGACACAATCCAGAACAATCAGATTGCAGTCAATTTTACCTAACAAAGAATGGCAAATAAGCTAACGAACCCACCTGATGGAAAGTGGTAACCGTTGCCTATAGACATGAGCAGTACCATGGACATAACAGAGTATACTGTTTCGCCCATGATACCTCCCATGCGTTGCCATTCCTGAGGACTCAGGCGTTATTCCTATGTACTCTGTAAATTCAATGCCATATCCCACTCTTCAACGGGAATTATCTCAACAGGGAATCGAACCCGGGATTCCGTTAACGTAAAAATGATACACTATGCAACGGAGGTCATCAAAATTTGTAGCCACAATGAGGTTTTCTTTTTAAATGGATGAAGATAAAATGATGTACCTGCTTATGCCAACAGTAAACAATGGCGAGGCGGATGAAAGCAGGTCAGATGGCTCATCGTGTCATCATTAATTCACACAAATTAACTACAATGGGCGAGGGCGAAGGATGGGCAGCAGCGTCCCTCTTAAAACATCTCTAAAACCCTAATTGCGGTTGCCAACCCGCCTGCCAAGCGTGGCAACTACTGGCAAAACTCCCCTTACGGGGAAAGCTTATATCCAGCAGTGTACAGTTAACGGCTGAAATAATAAATAAAACTAATAAAATTACAATGGTTTCCAGAGGGCACTGCGTGGAGGTCGATCTGATTGATAATATACCTTATATTGCTAGCAATGGAGAATGATTGGCATATCTAATTTGGCTGAAACTACTAAAAAAAAAAAAAACAAACTCACGGTAATAGGTTTAACGATGGCGACGGAGGCGGCGGGCGACTCGGGCTCCGGCTTGCTGTCCGCGCCGGACGACACGTGCCGGTGATTGATGTGCGCCTGCAAGTCCCTCTGTAGCGGTAATGGGGAAACACATAAATAAATATACTAGATTAAATAATGTAAGCTTTCGACGACTCGATTCGATGAGGGGGTGGGGGAAAGGAATTGTTAGCAATGGGGTCTAACTGACGCGTTGCTAGCAATATAAGTTTTTTTTTTAAACTGATGATAATGGAATAGTTACCCCACCTGCGCTAACGGTATACACTGGCGGGGCACCAGTGAGGGGTGATAGGTGAGAATTAAAAGGCAGGTCAGTTAGCCCATCGTGATGAATATATCAGGAATTCAGCACGATGGTTTTCAGAGGGGGCCATGTGGAGGTAGACCTTATTATATTATATTGCTTAGCAATGGGACTGATAGTCCGCATTACTAGTAATCCCTTCCCCCAGCAATACAGGGTGTATTGCTAACATCAGGCCGACCTCCACGCAGTTCCCCTGGAAGTCATCATGGTTAATTCTTGTGGAATTCGTCACGATGGGCTAACCGACCTGCTTTCATCTTACCTATCATCTCTCACTGGTGCCCCGCCAGTGTATCCTGATAGCGCAGGTTTACCATTCATTTATCACCCATTTAACCGACTCCATCTGAGGAGGGGAGATAGGATTGTTAGTAATGGGGAGGTTAGTGTTCATGGCTAGCAATTTACCTTGTTTTTTTTTAATGGGTGATAATGGTATGGTAACCCCGTCTGCGCTATTGGTATACACTGGCGGGGTACCAGTGAGGGATGACAGATGAAGATGAAAGTAGGTCAGTTAGCCCATCATGACGAATTAATTAGTCACGATGGTTTCCAGGGGGAATCATATGGAGCTCGACTTGACAGGGTATATTGCTAGTAATAGAGCTATTTGACCCCATTACTAACAATCCCTTTCCCCTCCAATTTACCTTGTTAGGTCTACATACACGCGGTCTCCTCTGGAAACAGTCGTGGTTAATTTCTAGCCAATTAGCAACGATCCGCTATATATATATATATATATATATATATATATATATATATATATATATATATATATATATATATATATATATATATATATATATATATATATACATACACATATATATACACACATATATGTAAGTTATTTTTTATACAATTTAGGTATATAGCCTATATTTAATTTTCATCAGTGGGCAGTTGACGCCTAATAAAAAGTAATAATAAATGTATATTTATAACATATTGGGAGTTACAGCTAGTTTCATGCGAGACATACCTGTGACAAATAAGTTCTACGGCACCCAGTGTTCCCGTATCTGGTTCCGGAGTGTGTACACATGAACACTGTGCCGAGTCCTGTTTGTTCCACTCGTAGTACCTGTATTAACATATTATTCTCCATATTAGTAAACGATACGAAAATAATACGTCCCTACGGCGGGACGCTTGCTTGCTATGCTTTGTGGTTCCGGCATTGAAACCTTTTATGACACGCACGGGAAGAGGTGGTCTCGAGGTCGTGCTGTAAGAGGCGACTATTATCCACGACGGTTTCCATTGGGAACCATGGGGAGATCGACCTGATAGAGTATATTATTAGCAGTGAGTTTGCTAGTCTCCATTATTAACAAATCTTTTTCCCTTTAGAGAGTGGTAGTTTGTTTATTATCACACCATCAAAGATCTGTATCTTTGAATCCAAAGATTCATTATTGATATATAGTCAACAGCAAGGAAGGCTGTATTTTTTATGCTATATGTAGGCGGAGCACCAATAAGGGTTATGTGAGGATGAAAAGGTAGATCAGTTAGCCTATTGTAATGAATAAATTCATCACTTGAAATTCAGCACAATGGTTTTCAGAGAGGAACATGGGAAGGTAGACTTAACAGGGTGTATAGCTTGCAATGGTGGGGGGAAGGGATTGTTAGCAATGGAGTCTGACAGCCACATTGTTAGCAATATGTCCTATCAGGTCGATCTCCACGTGGTTCCTCTGAAAACCATTGTGAACAATTCTTGTTGAATTTGTTGAACTGACCTGCTTCATCCTCATCTATCATTCTTCACTGGTGCCCCGCCGATACCGATAGTGCGGGTAGGGTTACTATTTCATTATCACTCATAAAAAAAGCTTGCAATGGGAATGGTAGCCAGCATTACTAACAATCCCATCCCTGTATGGCTGTATTAGTTACTAGGATTATTATATTATATAATTGTTTAAACCTGTCAATATTTTTTTCATTAATACCTACAGTATATTTTTGTCACACTTCACAGAGACGATTTATTAGTCATAACGTTGCTATTGCTTATGGATTAAAATTATTGTAAAACTTGATTAAATCATCTTATTTAACTAAAATTTGGGTTTCAATAGAAGCTCCATTGTGTTATATTAAACAATAATCTTACCTTCTCTCTACACCGAGGGCAGTGTGTATGATCGGCTCTCGCGCAGGAAAAACAAAACACATGTTTACAAGGAATCTGTAATGAAATAATTAATGTTATCAGCAATAGTTTGTATAGACATCCTTTGATTGAAGGAATGATAAATTTATTTGCTTTTTATAAATTTCTCTTTATATCAAGAGTTAAAAGGTGACCCAAAGGTTCCATGTTATATTGACTTGCTGCATCTATATTTATAATTATAGTATAATGTAATACATAGTTATTTTAAAGCAGGGATAGTCAAACGGTTGATTGCTATCAATTGTTGATAGCAACTACTAGTCCAGTAAATCATGGCAAGGCAAAAAATATAATATTTTATAAATGTAACAGAAGATGCTCAGACGCAATGCTCACACTAATATAAATAAGTAATTACTAAGAATAATTTTCAGTTTTATGTTTACCCTCTTAATAAAATAAAAACAACTAAAATATTAAATAATTGTGTATTGAACTATGTTGTTTCATTTGAGATTTCAAGAAGTATTTAAGTCGTAGATAACACAGGGTTTCATCAATAAATAGTAGATCTTGGGTTTAGTCAAGTTGGCCACTCCTACTTCAAAGCGTTCATTATTGTGTTCTAGAAATTTGTCTACCTTTGGGAGAAAGTTCCCTCAATGTAGTACTTAAAAACTGTAATATACTACCTTAAACTAATTTTGTAACAAACATACATGAATACAATGTGTCTGTAAAACTCAATTATTAGAAGAATTATACTACATACATTTTTACCAAAGTTGGTTCTACCCAGTAATTTCACTGTCATATTTCAACATTAATAAGGCACAGAATCTAAGTTGCTGGCTGGTGAAACAAAGGTATAGATGACTATAACCTCCTATTGGTTATTATATAAGTGTTGGTAGTACACTTGTAACATGAGTTTCACTCACCATTCGTCCATAAATGAGTATAGGTTTTGAGCATATATCACAGCAGTAGATCATGGGGTTCAAAACTTTTTCACCAATGAGTGAGGCTCTGTGGCTCCAATCTAACCGCAGCATTGGCTCGGGAGGGCCACGCTGCAGTGTTGTAAACACTGGGGCTTCCAATTGAGATATGTCTGATGGAACCTCCACTGTGGACATATTAATGATTTTATGGCAATGGTTTTAATGAATGGCAAAAATAAGTAATGACATTAGAATATCATTACTGCTACTGTTATCAGTGTGAGTGATAATCAAATTGATAAAAAATTATAATGTTCTATGAAAACAAATATATAACAAACATTTATTTAATAATAACAAAGTTATTTATTTGATAGAGTTGTGAAAATGCATTCAATATTAATATTAAAAAATTCAATGTTACAATGTTAAGTTACACTAATTTCTGAAACTGATCAAGTAATTTTAATGAAGTTTTACACATTGTTTGCTGTTTTTTTTATAATGGATGACTATGAAATGGTAACCCAGCCTATGCTTAAGGTATATGCGGTCATCAGTGAGAAATGATAGGTGAGAATTAAAAAGCAGGTCAGTTAGCATATCGTGAAGGATACATCTGGAATTCAGCATGATGCTTACTAAGGGGAACTTCAGGGAGGTTGATTTAATAGAGTATAACACTTGTAATGGGGTTGATAGTTCTCATTATTAAAAATAGCTTCCTCTCCTGTTTGCTTCAACTCGAGAGGTAGGATAATATTTATTCTGATAAAAAAATTCAAAAGTGTTCATTGACTAAAGTTAAGATTTATGTTTTTCATTTATGTAAAAAAGCGTATATTTTATTTTATAAGATCTTAATGAGTTTTCTAAAAAGAATATGATAATAAAATATATGAATAGAATAAATCAAATTACTGACGATACTAACATTTAGGCGGTTCGGCTTGTTCATTCTCTTGCTTAGGTTCCTCGGGCACTGATTCTTCAGGGTCCTGTGAAGTTTCTTCGATAGAACATTCCTCCTCGTCACTGGACATTACTTTGGGCACTTTCTTGCCCCGACCTCGTCCTCTACCTCTGCCTCTGCCACGGCCTCTTCCTCGCCCACGTCCTCGAGTATTCCTCTTTTCACCGTTCATTGTACTTTATATTTTCTGATTGAAATCAAACTGTAATGTTACGTTCTAACCTCACTTTAACACAATACTATAATATTCTGTTTGTATCGCAGGCCCGGTAAGTTTATGTTTATGAAAATTTTATAAATTGAATTAATTTAATAATCATTTGTAGATAAAAACATAATTGTACAATTAAAGCCATAAAGCGTAACCAAACGTCAACATTATTAAAGATGGATTTTTTTTTTTTTTTTTTTTTTAATTTATTCATGACCATGGATACAAGTCCTTCAGTCGCAGACATAAATGATATTTACAAAAAAAGGAATGTAGAACAAATTACTATATAAACGCAATTAACAATATTGATAACATAAAAAATTCTTAAACTTTATCTACAGTATTAGTAATGAAGTTAAAAACAGACGTAAAATAAGCTTCGTTGGATAATAAATCTTGAACGCGGCGGGGAACGCATTGTGAATGTTCCTTCGCAATGTCACTAATATCACTAACAAGTATCAGCCGTTGAATGTTGAAATTTTGACAGTCAAATATAATGTGTTTTATGTCTGCATTGTCTTGAAAACAGTATTTACACTTATTGTCACTAATAATATTGAGTCTGTTGAGGTGAACTGGAACTAAGCAATGCCCGAAACGAAGACGATTGATGATCGTAATAAACTTCCTGCCGCAGTATTTAAATTTGCTATACCAAGGTTTAATTGGTAAGTCTCTCTGTAACTCCGCATACCATTTACCTTTAGTTTCAGTTGTTATATCCCAATGGTCTTTCCATATTTTTGCTAAATTACTTTTAAGTAGTCGGTAATAATCTGTGAACGGAACTTTCAACATTTCCGAGTGATCCTCATCGTGTTCTCGACTAGCTGCTCGATCCACAATTTCATTCCCTAGTATGCCACTGTGCGAGGGTACCCACACAAATTCTATGTTTTTACTCTGACTCAATGTTCGCAACAGATCTTTAATTTCATAAAGTAAATAATTTTGCTTATATGAGTAATTACAATTACATAAAGATTCCAATACACTCTTGGAATCAGAAACTATTAATATATTTACATTATTTACAAAGTTATTTACAAATATTAAAGCACTTAGAATAGCATAACTTTCAGCTGTAAAGATACTACAATTTTCTTCCAATTTAATACATTTTGTGAGTTTGTTTTGTGGATCATAATATGCTGCCCTAACACTGTTTGCACTTTTAGAACCATCAGTATAGATTACATAGAAATGTGATTTCTTATTCAAAAATTCAAGAAAATCAAATTTGTTATGTACTAAGTCTATATAACATTTAATATCTAGATAGTTAAGCAATGAATTGTAAGGACATTTGTACATTGGCCATTTAGCATTTACATAAATATGATTTGCTGTATTTTTAACATTTAACATTATGATTGGAATTTCAGGCAAGGGGTTAGAAACAATGCTGGAAGCTGAGATATTGGAGGATACAACAGAAGAAAATTCTACTGGATATATAATATTATTAAGGACCATATTTTTATTGAAAGACAATTCCTTCAAACAGAAACGTTGAGCCAAATGTAAACGTCGGAGGGATAATGGAGGTATGCAATTTTCAATCTCCATAGAATTAATAGGAGTGGAGCGCATGGCTCCACAAATTATTCTTAAACTCATATTCTGTATCACATCGAGTCTCCTCAACAATGTGGTGCTAGCATTCATATAAGCCAAACTACTATAATCAAAATGACTCCTAACAATACTTTTATATAGCAAATTTAGAGTTTTAGGGTCAGAACCCCAAAAAGTTCCAGCCAGACATCTCAAAACATTTACACTTTTCATTGCATTTTGGGAGATATAGTTAATGTGTTTATCAAATTTTAATTTGTCATCTAATACTACACCTAAAAATTTATGATGATTAACAATTGGGATTACTTTATTGTTATATAAAACTTTCACTCTGGATAATAAAGATGGATCTCTCTCTCTACTAAATACCAAAACTGAGCTTTTCTCTGAACTGATTTCTAATTTTAAAAAATTGCTATAGTAATTATGAAGCTGAAATAATGCAGAATTAATGTTGTTAATGGCCATATTTAAATTTTGATCTTCACTATATAAAAGCAGGTCATCAGCAAACTGAAGAATATTAACTTTTGAATTATCCACATAGTTGAGGATCTCCGATGTGTACAAACTATACAATAAAGGAGACAATGTGGCCCCTTGCATAGTCCCTTTGTTAACATTTTTTGGTCCATGTAAAATGTTATTATATTTAACAAAAACAGTTCTATTATTTAAAAAACTAAAAAGCCACTTTAATGTTTTACTTGGCAAACCCAAGTTATGCAACACATGAATTAAACATTCTATATTCACATTGTCAAAAGCACCTTTAACATCTAAGAATACACATACTACATTAGAGTGACTTAATTTTGCTTTTTTTAACACAGATATTAATGATACAAAGCTTTCAGAACAACTTCTGCCCTTTCTGAATCCAAACTGTATATTTGGCAACTTATCTTGTGATTCAGCATAGTAGTCCAAACGAAATTTTAACATGTTTTCAAAGAGTTTACCTAAACATGAAGATAAGGAGATAGGTCTATATGATGATGCACAATTTACAGGTTTATTGGGTTTTAGAATAGGGATAACACACTGGGTTTTCCAAGATTCTGGTATAATTGAATATTCCCAAAGTTTATTATATATATCTAATAATATTTTCTTTGCATTAGGATGTAATTGTTTAATTAAAAAATATGTTATACCATCCAACCCTGGAGCTGTATCTTTCCGACTTTTTAGTGAAATGTGGAACTCATGTAATGTAAAGGGTTTATTAATAAATGAGTTACTAGCATTTTCTTCAGACAGATTCAAAATATCTGTTATATCATTTTGTAAATGTGATGATGCTGCCAATGAGTCTAAAAACTCTGGTATCCATTCATCATTTGGGTTTCTATTTGAAGTATTATCTAATCTTTTAAACCTTTTGATGTAACTCCATATTCTAGAAATAGGTGTTGTTCTATTGAAACTGGTGCACAACTGATGCCATGACTCTGTGCGTTGTTCCCTTAGAATTCTTTTCTTTTTAGCATCAACTTTTTTGTAATTTATGAAATTAGAAATTGATGGAGAATTTCTGTACTGTCTCAGGGCTTCTTTAGACTTTTGAACAGCATCATCACAAATGTCATTCCACCAAGGAGCTGGTTTTCTCAAAAATTGGAAAGATTGTTTTAACTTTTGTTTAGGAACTGTCTTATCTCTTATATTATATAAAATATATACAAAATCATTATATAACTGTAAAGGTTCAGTACTGTTATAAATGTCTAAGTGAGAAAAACTAATTTCAGATAAACTGTAATATTTAGACCAATCTGCTTTATTATATAAATATTTGTCTTCCACAGGTCTAACTTCATATATTGATGGCTTCACATTTACACGTACCTGAGTCGGATAATGATAACTGCCCATCGGGTCATCATGGACTTTCCACTCACAAAGAGGAGACATTGAAGGACTAACTAAAGCTAAATCTATTGCTGATGCTTGCCTGTTTGAGACTGGAACAGTAGTCGGACTACCATCGTTCAACACATATAAATTGAATTCATCTATAAGACTGAACATAATATTACCTCTACTATTGTTTGTGTTACAACCAAACAAAATATGATGTGCGTTGAAATCACCCATAATGAGACATGGTTTAGGAGTATCCAGAAGTACTTTTTTAATTTTATTGGTGTGAAACTTTCCACTAGGGGGACAATATACACACAGAATATGTAATTTACCGATAGATGTTTCTATTGAGATGCATAAATTTTGAACAGCTTCAAAGAAAGTAGTATTAATAATATTATATTTAAAATTTTTCTTAATTAATATACCAATTCCGTTGTGTGGATTTGTAGAATTTTTGAAAATAAAATTATATGATGCAAACCTAGGAATTTTACTATTACTTTTAAACCATGTCTCATTAAGTAAGCATATATCAATATTTTGTTCAGTAAGATATTTTTGTAACAGAACTTTTTTACTCTGTAAGCTTTGTATGTTAAATTGTGCTATGTTTATATATGTATCCATAAAACTAAGTTAAATTAGACAATAATATTTCTTTAATTTTCTTATGAGTTATTGACATTTTCTCATTGTTGTTCCCAAGAGCAACAAGAGATTTAACGAGAGCATTAATTATAATATCATTATTTACAATTTCATCTTTATTTAATTCGGATTTATTTACATTTGAATTTAACTGAGAGCTATATACATTACTGGATTTTTCCAGATTTGGAAAATTTTTTGACTCTGAAACATTTGAAGGTATACTCACAACAGTGGCATAACTAAGATTGAGATACTTGTTCCTCTTCTCTTCCATTTTCTTCCTTTTAATGGGACAATTCCTAGAAATAGCTAGATGATTGCCACCACAATTAATACACATTATCGTGTCAACATCACATTCTTTATACGAGTGCTGACCAGCACACGATGAGCACATCTGTACGGCTCGGCAAACTTTGGCTGAATGGTTAAATTTTAGACATTTGAAACATTGAACTAATGGTGGAATGTAAGTATGCACAGGATATCTGAACAACTGAATGTAGACATATTGTGGCAATGTTGTTGCTGCAAATGTGACAGCAACTGTACCTAAAGGTGTAAGGATCCCATCTACTTTTCTCATAAAACGTTTAATAGAAATTACTTCTGCGTCACAGCTAATATTTTTATATATATCTTCATTGGACATATCTGTCGGTACATATCGAATAACGCCGGTTTTTTCTGATAAATATGCGGGTACAAAAGCTCGAAATTTATTTTTATTCAAAAAATGGTCCATTTTAAGAAAATTATTTGCTGGTGCCGGTTTCCTGAACGTGATGCCAATTTTATAGGCGTTCACTCGATGAACTCCTACGATACCCTTTACATTTTCTGTGAATAGTTTAGTCAAAGTCATAGGATTTTTATTCCCTAATTTTTCGTCTTCCGTTGATTCTACATATACTACACAATCAACACTGTGATTTTCTGGGAACTGTCTCTTGTAATTTGGTTTGGTGTACATTTTATAATTATCAGAAAGTCCTGAATCATTAAATGCTAATTTACGTTTTTTTGCCTGACCTTTTCTTTTCCTTCCAATGTCGACGGGGT